TTGCCGAACGCAGCAAAGTTCTTCACATGAGTTGCCTTCCGCACGACACCACCCAGTCCGAGCTGGAGAGTTTGTATACCCAGTTCGGAGGCCGTCCAATTGCTTTTTGGAACCCTGAGAACCCCGGATCAGCACAAACCTACAGGGCACGGGATTTGCTGTTTTCTCATCTCATGAAGAAGTACGTATTTGTCGTCAATTTTTTATTTGTTGATCTAGTTTGTACGATTTTTTTTTTAACGTTTATTCGTTGTACTTAGGCTGCGGAAAGCCTTTGCATGAATGGGCGTGCTCTGAACGACAAGGCCATCGAGGTATCCCCTTCCTCTAGCCGTGTTCTCGATCACGCTGCGGAAATTCTTACCCCGTTCCCTCCTAGCAAGAATCGTCCTCGCCCGGGTGATTGGACTTGCCCATCCTGCGGATTTTCTAACTTCCAGCGTCGTACAGCCTGCTTCCGCTGCTCTTTCCCTGCTGTTGGTACTGGTCCAGACCCAATGGGTTATGGAGGATATGGCTATGGTCCCCCGTCGATGATGCCCCCGCCGCACCATATGGGACACCACGGAGGCCATGTGCACACGCGAGGTATGGGCGGAAATGGTGGCGTTGTTCCGTTTCGAGCTGGGGACTGGAAGTGCGGCGCTGAGGGCTGCGGCTACCACAATTTCGCAAAGAATATCAATTGTCTTCGCTGTGGTGGTCCTCGCTCTGGCGCTGCAGTGGTCGCGGACTCTGCTTTCCCCTCCCCAATGGAGCCTCCATCCGGCTTCGGAATGGGCCTGGCATCTATTTCAAGTACTCCAGGCCCAGGCCCATTCGCTTCCAGTGCAGGTGGCTTCGGCGCCTTTGGGCAGCAGTTTGGGGGTCCTGCAAGCACCTACGCGGCCCCCTCTGGTCTGGGGGCCGCCTCCGGTCCCTACCCGCCAATGGGCCAAATGAACCAAATGAACCAAATGAATGCTCCGTACGGGTCTGGCAATGCGTCCCATTCTGCGGCCTCGTTCGGCAACCCAGCCACGCAGGCGGCCTTCACTGGTGCAGACCACGTCCCTCAACCGGTTGGCGCGTCCAACGGCAACTTCTATGGTAACGACGCTTCTGCAGATCCATTCGCCTTTTTGAGCACTGGATTAGGCGCCCTCGGTGTGGATGACTCCCGCAGGAATGGTGCGTCCAATAACAAATCTCCAGCATAAATTTTTTCATTCACCTTTTGGTCTCCTAAGAGCATACCCGGAGACCTACCATATTGAGTCTTTTGGTCGATTTTGGATTGGAAGCGCCCGTACCTTTTTCTTCTTCTTTTTTTTTTTTTTACTTGACATTTTATTCCCTCAAGTTACATCCGTTGGTGTATTGCTACTGCTCTATATATAGAGATGTCTGTTTCCTGCGATATTTGGTGCATTGGGCGGAAACCGAAGTTCTTTTTCGGAAAGCAGCGATTTGTTTACTTCTGCAGTAACGTATCGGTCAATGACTGATCCTTGACCCTAAGCATAAGATTATATCCCGCTTCTGTGTCCCTGGGAATTTTTTTGTTCAAGCAATTTTTGATCGGGGGCTTCTTATTTTCATTACTTTCTTGTTTGTTTTTTCTACACTTTGGCTACCCCCGTGTTATTGTTACTATTTCCACTTTTGTTTGATTTACTGCGTCTTCCTATTCTATTCCTATATCTCGTTTTCCCCCCGCGCTCCCCTTTTCTGTTCTTTTTGTTGTGTCTTTGTATTCACCAGTTTCCATGGCTCCTTTGCTTCTTTATCATTTTCGAGCGGAGAACAGTGGATAGCGGTAAATTTGAGGATTGCACGGGTTAGCATTAGTGGGCGAACGAGGACTGTTCAGCATGGCATGGCATGGCATGATTGGGACATGTATAGATGCTGTTTTGGCGGAGATATCAACTTCGTTTCCAAGTCGTCAGCTTGGCAACGTTGGAAACAAACTATTTGTTTTCCCTTTGTTGGTTTTCTGCTTTTTGATTACTTTTATTTCTTCTTTTCTTTTTCTTGGGTTGATTTGGGATGGGACGGGATGGTATAGTATGAGAAAGTTTTTCCTCAAAATACCCCATGGCACTTAGGGGAAATGGGGGTATTGTCAACCGTTATCAATGGAAAAAGCGAACCGGTGTCTGGATTTTTGGTATAGCCCTATTTTTACAAAAGCTGGAAGGGAAAAATGGCGGAAAATGGACAAAACAAAAGGATCGGAGAAAATTTATCAAAAATTGGATTTTATATGGGTGAACACAAAGGAATTGGGATGGGCGGATACGGCACGGTGATCTACGGCAAAAAGGACTCGCTAACATCGGAACAAAGTAAAAGAGATGGAAAAGTCAAAAGAGAGGGGAAAGAGGACAAATTGGGCAAAGGGGCAAAAAGGAGAAAGTCATGAACAGCCTTGACTTTCTAAAAAACTATCCCCATCCCTTTTTTTTCTCTTTTTCCCGGCTTTCTGTTTTATGAGCTTGATTCGGGTAATTCTTTTTCTTTTCTGTTTTCCTTCTTTTCTTCCCCGTTTTTGGAGGAACCAGATCTATTGTTGATATTACCACTGTTACCATTATTATTTGGCCGTGTTTTTTGTCGGAATTATTATATCGCTAAGCGAAGCAAGCGGGGGGGACATTTTTTTCGGCTGTTGGGGCTGGAGAAACCGGAACGGAGCTGCTTTCTTTATATGTCTGTCGTCTGAGGGCTTCTTCTCCCTCGTTGGTTGGGCACGACAAAATGGCAAATTGCATGGATTGAACTTTTTTATTCTTACTTCTTCTCTTTGGGTTTTTTTTTTTTTTTTTTTTTTTTTTTTTTTTGAAATATGGGGAAAGCAAACAAAAAAACACTGGCGGATGGAAACTTCTTGGTGTTTTTTTCCCCTCCATATTTTTTCCTATATCATCCATATCTTCTTTTGATGAACTATATAAATACTTCACTCCCCCCCATCCTTCCTCTCCTGCAACGTTTCGCTTGAGTGATTGATTAACCGCTCCTTTTGGTCTATCTTGATATTCATGACACCCTTGGTCGCTCCGGTTTCGTTTTGCTGTGAGTTAAGAGCGCTCCCCTACATCTTTTTTTTTTCTGCGTCTGTGTGCTACGCATGTCCTCCCTCTCTCTCCCTTCCTTAGCCTTTACGTCCCCACAATTCTCTATCCCGTATTTATTTCCCCTTCCGCTAAGTGGAGATCATTGTCGAGAACCACGTTCATCCCTTACTTGTTTCCCCCATTCTACTCGACATCATCTTCCCCCCCCCCTTTCCCCCCCCCCCTACCTACCTCTTCATGATTTTATTTTAGTTTCCCCTTTCTCCTCAACCATCAAATCCGGATTCTTCGAAGCTTCATCCCTCCGCTCTTCCTATTCCGTGGAACGAGATGCCAAATCAAACCCGTTTTTAATAGCTAGTTTTTATTGTCCTGCCTAGCGCTCTTTTCCCCCTTTTTCCTTCCCCCTCCACTTTCCACTGTCTGTTTCTACGTATACCATCTCTACTCTTACTGTAGCGAAATTGATATCCAATGTCTGAATCGTTCATTTCTTATAAGGTAATAATAGATGCACGTGAACCTACCACTCCCTTTCGCCCAATGGAGAATAAACCTGGCGGCAGATAAAACTGGACTCTTGAATTGACCCATATACTGAGAGCAAGACAGAAATGTTGCAATATCGAGCTGAGGTACAGAATTTCAATGGATCGATAAGATTGAAAAAAAAAAAAAAAAAAAAAAAAAGTCCCCATTCGATACATATACCGCGTAAACCAGATAGGTATTATGAAAGCCAAAAAAATCAGAACCAACGTCAACAAAAATTTAAACCAACGGAGACAGGAGGGAAGGACAAGGAAATAAAAAAACCACAAAAACCATATGCATAAAACCTCACTCCTCCATCCAACGAAGAAGCCTGATCCCAATGACAAATTCGTGTTGAATTCCAGTTAAAACAACGGGGTTGCAATAGCTTGTACCTATTATCATCAGGTCCTCCATCCTTACTCCTCAGCATCAGTAAATACATCCGTCTCTGTTTCAGCAGTGCTTTCCCGTTTCCTCCCGCCGCCACCAAGGTTTGTAGCAATGACGGTATCATCACCATCATCTCCTTCCCCAGCTTCCGTCTCACTACCACCCATATCCGCATTCGCACTCTCAGCCTCACTCTGCACAGCACTTAAAACGCTCTCCCCATCATTCCCTCGCTCCCTTTTGATAGCCACAGACGCCATGGATGCCATGGAAGCCGCCGAAGGGGTGGCGGAAACCTCCCTCGATCTTCGTTTAGTTGCTTGGCTGATCCCGCTCTCCCGCCTGCCGCTGCTACTGTTACTGGCAATACTACTCACAGAAACAGCACGGCTTGTATCTCTCATCTTCTCATGGCTCTTGGATGCCGCCACCACCGCAGTGACAAGCTTCAAGACCGCGTTCTTCGCCTTAACTAGCGCATTTCTGCTCGTCGCATCACTCGCGACACCGGAGGAGATTGCCTGGTCTAACAGATCTTTCACAAGCAGTGGCAACTCTCCATCATCATCGGAAGCGAACTGAACTTGAGTGTTGGTGTTATGGGAGCGCATGCTGGAGCCAAGACTTTCATGATCATCTACACCATCGGGCACACGCGACCCGGATCGCGAAGGCGCTGTTGGAGGTGGGGGTGGGGATGGAACATGCAGTTTGCCGAGCAAGGAGAGTAGATGTTTTTTCTCTTCTTTGCTGGAAGCACTTGTGGAGCCCACTCCGAGAAGGCGTTGGAGAATATCCCGCATCAAGGCTAGGTGGAGACTGTCGCTGGGACGGAATGGGGTGACATTGGGAGTTACAGAGAGCCCGGGCAGTTGCGCTTCACCACCCAATCCAACAATTCGCCGGTCATCTGTCCATTCCGCAAGCATGCCTACAACATTTGACATGAGCGATTTGATTTCCTTTTCCCCAACGCTGTCATCGATCTCTCCGTCGCTGTCTTCATCGGCTTCTAAGGAGTAGAAATCATCGGCTGCAGATAAAACTGAGTGCACTACCGATACAGCGATTTTGCGCATATGTTGAGCGTTTGCAGGGCGAGAGTGACAGTAGACAGGGAGGAAGTAGGTAAGTGCCTGTCTGAGAGCCAGGTTATCCTGCGTCCGGGGATTGAAGAATGAGAGAACGAGAGCTTGTAGGAGAGTGTCAATGGAGTTCTCATTTAACTCTTTGATCGATGAGGGGATATTAGGGCCGGACGGCGATAAGGTGCCAGTAAGAAGCAGTTTTGCCAATGAAGTGACAGCTGCCGTTTGGACAATTGGCGGGGAGCTGGCTTTCAATGACTTGGCGAACACCCTGAGCAATGGCTTTTGGAATGGGGGAGGAACTACAGAATTGCTTTCATTTGGCGATTGGACTGGCAGAAGTATTGAAGTATGAGTCGTGAGGATATCAGCAAGAATTCGTATCGCTGTTTCCTGTAGAGCCTCGTGGCCTTTCGTGTAGCAATGGATGAACAAACTCATGTTCTCTTCAGCGAGTGTCTGAGAAGCAGTTAGCAGAGACAATCACCATAGGAATTATGACATTGATTTTCAATTCACCTACCTTATCTAGCAGACAACACAGCCCCAAGCACTCAAGCCCACGCTCTCTAATGGGGGCCTCATGGCTCCTGACCGCTGGAACCACCAGGTTGTTCAGCATGGTCACTAGGTGCATATTATCCTGCAAGTTTCCTTCAACATTCTGAAGCATACATTGCGCGATATAGAGACATTTCATGTTCACCATAATCTCGCGAAGGATCTTGGCTTTGGCCTCCTCTTTGTTAAAGGGAACCTCCTCACTGTCACCCTCATCTTCTTCATCCTCATCCTCAGGTGTCTCAGATCCATTTCGTTTAGATTTTGATCCACTTTCCTCGCTTTGTTCCGACTTAGCTGAAACAAAGCTATCCTCCGATACGATGGTATCATGGACTTCTGCAACAGCTTCGAGAACGACGCCACAAAATTCGCTCTCACCGGCGGCGTCAGGGCCGCAAACCGCTCGCAGAGCCTCCACGATAAGCTTTGTTACCTCCTCTGGCAAGTTAGGAACTGCTAACGTCTCTCTTAGAAGAGAAAACATCTTTCTTCTGCCAACTTCATCACTATAATCAAGAGTAAGACAGATGTGCAAGAGTTGTTCAACAACAAATTCACATTCGACAGTTTCCTCTTCTGCACGATCATCCCCTGCTGGTCGACTTAACCTGTCTAAGAGAGCAGTCGTGTATTTATGGAGGTAGTACGCCAAGGCAGTAACTTCGGGAATCTTTTCGTCCGCTAAATTATCATATTTGCCATCACCTTCTTCCTTGCAGAACTGGTTGAAGCTTCGCGCCATGAACACTTTTTCCGGGGTGAGAGATTCCCAAAATTGCTCATTGAAATCAACAGTTTCACGGTAGTCAGGACGTCCTTCCCAGAAGTTCCTCATTGCTTCATGAGCAATTCCACCTTCGATTCCAGAGTTCACAACATCTATCCGTTCGAGAAGCTCCAACAGCGCGGGCATGCTAGGTGGCGCGGTTTTGTCCGTGCGTCGTTCGCCATCCTCCCCCGTTTCGGATCTCCCGGCGCAATCCTCAATCCAACGCTCGTAAAATAACCTACCAGCCGCTTTCTTGACATTATCATCGCGATCCCGTATACCCCATCGCAGTAGCTTTTCTCTCATTGACAAGGACAGATGTCTGAAGTCGCCTAATTGCGGAAGTAGACGTGAGTACAATGCTCTTCGGGTGGATGCATCCAGGTCTCGAGCCCGTTCTAGGAGGTAAGGCAAGGTAGCTGGCGTTAATGGAAGGTTAAGAAGCAATGTCCGTCGCACTTCAGCACTAGTGTCATTTTGAAGGACATCTAATAACTTGTCCAGGAGCGCTGCTGCCCCATCGTTTTTGTTCGAGTCATCGTCCTCGTCTTCATTTCCGGCGAGGCGCCCAAGCCCCATTACGGCCTGGACACGAACGGAGGGTTCTTTATCTCTGATTCGTTTGACTAAACCCTGTCGGATGAGGCGATATAACTCATCATCCACTGAATCTAACGAATTGACAATGTGAGTAATGATCTGCGTTACACGATACCGAACAATCCTTTCTTTGGCCGCTAGCAGTGGAGTCATTGTTGACACGATGTTGAAAATTAACCTGGAGGTAGGGGTCTCCGGTAGAGACTGCGTCTCATCTGGATCGCCCTGAAGGAATAGCTCAAAATCTGTATAATCCGTTAGGAAAGCCAACATAGCAGAGTTGCATGCATCGACCATCATACCTTTCTCGGTAGCTACTCTTAAGAAAGTTCCAAGGAATTTGATGACCCGATCGCCCGCCCCCTCTGCCTTTTTCACGCCAAGAACTCTCAGCATGCACCTGGAAACCTCAATATTAAACTCCTTTTCCGCCACTCCATCGCCGTCAGTGAAGCTATCGTTTATGGACTCTTCATGCGCTCTGCTTCCCTTCCCTTTCGCCTTTTCCTGTCGCAATCCACAACATCCTTCTTGTATTTTCCTTAACCGCACGACAAGCTTTCTGTGGCCAGATGTTGAACGTTGAGCATCTGAGAAAATCTCGATAATGGCTTTCCGGAGATGCGGGGAGGAGGTCGGGAGTGAGGGTTCCGCGGGTATGAATACAGTCGGCGCATTCTTTTCAGCGGGTGGGGCAGACGACTTGCGGACAGAGGTTGCTGACGAGGTCCGAGCAGAAACTCGAGATGGCATGTTGGATATACCGAGGCGCGATCAATTGTCAATGTCGTTTTCATTTATCCCCAGAGGGAGGTGGGGGTATTTGTGTCCGATGGTGACAGGCCACAGCTAGTTTTGTGGGAAAACGGGATCAGATGAACAATAATATATATATATCAATAACAAGAGAAAGCAATAAGTTATTCGGGATTAAACCAACACAATTGTCCTATGTCGGGATCGGATGCTGTCGTGGAGTTGCTGCTTGCTCATCTTCTCCGACGTTGTTTACGTTGACATCGAATTGCCCCTTTGGGAAGCGTAAACAAAGCTAATGCACATCGATCACGTTAAGATAAGGGCTCCTATATCACGTGCATATACTTGGCATAAAAGATAACCTTGGAAAGTCGAGGCGGTGACAAGAACTATGCTTCCATAATACATAGTACAGTACTTTGCTGAAAGTCACATAAGATCATCTCGCCTGTTTCCCATTTCTCATACTCAGAATTATTACATTATCGTCCCTCCCGGCCTGACTAACTAAGATGGTGAAACCAAGATCAACTCAGCACTTGATATGAGTGACACGTGACCGTGCACTCGGTAATCACGCAATCGAACATGGCCATCTCCAGCTTGGAGCTCTGGCTATGTAATTGATCTTGACTCATTCTGTGATCAGATTAGCCCGTCAATTTACCCGTCAATCATGTTACACAGCAGTGTCAGACTATTTTCCACCACAGCTTGCAGGGCAGCGCAGAGTATTGCGCATATTGAGTCCAGAAACGCTTACGGCATCCAGGTTTCGAAGGCCCAAGGTGTCGTTAAGGGCCTCACCGGAGGTAACTCCCGCACCCCTAGCTATTTTCTAATCTTTCACTTATGTCGAACCACAGCCTCAATTTACTGACTCTTTTGACAGCAATTGGAAATACACCACTCATACGATTGAACCGGCTCTCAGCGGAGACTGGTTGCGAAGTTCTTGGCAAAGCGGAATTCCAAAACCCAGGAGGCAGTGTCAAGGATCGCGCGGCACTATTCGTTGTCAAGGACGCGGAGGAGCGAGGGCTTCTAAAACCTGGTGGAACGGTTGTTGAAGGCACAGCCGGAAATACCGGAATCGGCCTTGCCCATGTGTGCCGATCAAAGGGCTACAAACTCGTCATATATATGCCCAACACGCAGTCTCAGGGCAAGATCGATCTTCTACGACTTCTAGGTGCAGAGGTGTACCCGGTCCCCGCTGTTGCCTTCGAAAACCCACAAAACTATAATCATCAAGCCAGAAGACATGCCGAGTCTCTGGACAACGCTGTGTGGACAAACCAGTTCGATAATACAGCCAACCGCCGCGCACATATTGAGACCACAGGCCCAGAAATATGGGCACAGACTGGGTGCAAAGTTGACGCTTTTACCTGCGCAACTGGCACTGGTGGCACTCTCGCTGGCGTTACGAGATATCTGAAGACCGTCAGCGACGGGCGTGTTAAGAGCTTCCTCGCAGATCCACCGGGAAGTGTGCTGTACAATTTTATATCAAGCGGCGGAAAGCTTATTGAAAGGACGGGGAGTAGTATAACCGAAGGAATTGGCCAGGGGCGTGTTACGGACAATCTGCAACCGGATATTGACCTAGTAGATGGAGCTTTGAGCATCAGTGACGAAAAGAGCATCGAAATGGTCTACCGGTGTCTGGATGAGGAGGGTCTCTATCTTGGCGCCAGCTCCGCACTCAACGTCGTTGCGGCCAAGGAAGTTGCTGAAAAGTTGGGCAAGGGCCACACCGTCGTTACCGTTTTATGTGATGGCGCTTACAGATATGCCGATCGCCTATTCTCGAACAAGTGGCTACAGAGCAAGAACCTACGTGAAGCGATACCAAAGCATTTAGAGAAGTACATTGTGTTGGAATGATTTATTCATTATTTATTTAATGTATACATTAACTTTGTTGGTTTAGACTGTTGGCATAATTATTTATAAGAAACGCAGAAATTATATGAACAGTCCACAGGCTATATGAACGCTACATAACTTCAACTGTCATCTTTTTCATGCATTCAAGCGCACGTTGCTCATGGGAAGACGGTGATCGTGTTATTTCTTTTACTTGGCATTGTTCTTTTAATAACACCTGTCACACTGCTTGGCACGATGAGTTTATCCCTTGCGGATACTGGTCCCAACATGGAGCTAAACATGGAGGTGCGTTAATTGCTTCTCTGCTAGCTATTGTGGCAATCGAATTGCTTGCGAAAACAGGAATCTGCCCAGCCACTCTGAATATTAGTAGCAAAACACTGCAAAAATAGCCATTCTATCCACATTTTTCTATAATCATTCAAATAATGTCAAATCAATGTTCAAATCATTCAAATAACACATTTTTCATACCTTTATCATCAAATTTATATATATCAAATTTTTTTTCACTATGTTTCACAACATCTGCTGTTCTGCTGTTTCTACCACCTCATAATTATATAAAAAGAACTCTACTCTACACTTCAGTCTTTTCAAACTATCTGAGCTCATGTTAGTGCTGGATAATGAGATGGAAGTGGTGGGGGAGATGAAGAAGATGAAGGAAATGAATGAGAATGATATTGAAATTCAATTGAAAAATTCTCAATAGTCATTATTTATCTCTGAATAAATTCTTATCTCTGAGTCAGTCATCTCATACAGATTGTATGAATGTGTGGTTATTAATAAAATAAAGAAATCAAAGATTAAATATCAGACTGTCACAACAAATGATTCAATTGTCAGCTTTTATTCCATTCAATATGCTGTAAAAAAAATGACAGAAAAGTTTGTTGCAAAATAAAATTATAAAAAAATGAAAATTATAAATTATATAACAATCATCTCATTCAACAAATATAAATCTTCTGATAAAATCAACATTGAAAAAGAGAAGAATTGATATGAGATTATGAATTTTTTAAAAAATTTGTATAAAAAAAAGATAAATGATTTTACTATTGAAATCATCACATATTTCAATTTTTTTAATATATTAATTTTATTTTTAAACACATCTGCAATATGTGATTCAGCAGCTTTTGTTGAACTGTCAAAATCACAATTAAAAGCTCAGATTTGAACAATAAAAAAAACTTTTAATTTTAAATATAAAAATAAAACAATTTCATTATTTTGTAATTTTCATCATTCTATCAAATCCTATCAAATCTATGAAATATTTGATGATGAAAAAGCCATGTGTTCACATTTTTCAAGAAACACAGCCACTAGCTAACAGTTGAAGAAGATTTAAAATCGATGACTGAATAAATGAAATTTCATACAGATTGTACATGAGTTAACCTTTTAATAACATTGTTAAAAAATAAATTGTCATAAATTCAAACAGAGTGCTTGCTGAATAATTTATAATGATACTCATGTTTAATTTATAAATAGTGAGATCTCAAATTAAGCAGTGAATATTAAATATAATAAAACAATTATTGAAATTTTTTCAAAAAAAATGACAAAAATATTAATGAATAGAAAAAATGAGAGAAAAAAAAAAAAAAAAAAAAAAAAAAAAAAAAAAAAAGAATGAATTTATTACAATTGTTATTAATTATTTATAAATATTAATAATTATATTCTCTTCTTCAATTTCTGCAACATTGTCCCCCCCTTGGTTGTGCCAAGGCCCCGTGGCGGCTCCACACGGCCCATCGTTTCCCCTCGGATAATCCCATCTATCCCATGACGTCACGCAGGTGTCCAAACCGGTTTCCAACCACCCTATGACATCATTCGGATGCAATAGAAGAGGATCCGATTGATGGGATATGAAAATCCTGTTGCTATACGGGGTCAGTGGATTCCTTCTGGCAAATCAATGCAGCGCCACTGCGGAGTTGCTTCGGCTACCCTCGCTCATAGAGTGAGGGGAGGATGGCTGCCCGTTGTCTATATAGAATAGCTAGATGCTGGCTCTCTATTCCAGGAGCCAGCGATTCGTCTTTTATCTTTTGACAATAAGATACCAGAGTTACCACTGTCCTCATACAATATTCTTAGTGTGCCGAGTACCTCTGGTAGTTCAGTATTTGTATAGTATTCTACGAGTTCGCGGTTCAAGCGAGATAATCAAGCCCACCCATAAGGCTTCCCATTATATACCATCCTCCTCTGTGCCGCTGCCGAGTAGCAACCGCCTCGGCGCCGTCACATTACAAACATCATCTTCATCAAATAAAGAATTGTTATATGAGGTTGTCAATATAATGATGATGAAATATATATTTGAAAATTCAAATCCGCTGTATCTGCTGTATCATTATCTTTCATATTCATATTCAGATTATTTGCAGTTGAATCTGCAGTTGAATTCATTCATAAATTCACAGTTGAATTTACATTTGAATTTACAGTTGAATCCGCAGTTGAATCTGCAATTGAATCCGCTTATAAATTCGCAGTTGAATACACTGTCAAATTCATTCATGAATTCACCATCAAATCCACCTGTAAGTCTGTCAAATTCATTTTCAAATTTCTTTTTGAATTCATCATCAAATTTGCTTATGAGTCTGTCTTCACTTTCAAGTAATTCAGTATCTCAATTTGATAAGCATGCTGATTACTTTTTCAATGAATTCTTTAATTGAATATTATTTTCAAAATTTAATAAAAGCTCTAATCTTTTATATGCTGATTCTATTCTTCAAAATGAAGGATTTAAATTGAATCATTTATAAAGATCGACAAAAAAGCAGTTGAATGATATGAATATTAATACAGATATATTTCAAATTATAAAAGATGAAGTAAAAAATTCAAGATGATAGACAAAATTGAAAAAGTTCAAATTTGATTTATTTATTATTTATAATGATGAAAGCAAATCTCACACTGCTTCTATTTTTAAATTTATAAATTGAATATTTCTAGTTATTATAGTATTATATTATATAAACACATTTGAAATATTTTCTTATATCATTTTTTTTCATGAAATTCTGAACTATATGATGTAGAAAAGTTTCAAAATTTTCATCAAATTGAATATTCAATTGATTTATATATTTATTCATTTCTTCAATATGTGAAAAAACTCTTCTATAGAGTTATAATTTGATTAGTAAGATGATAAGAATAAGAGTTCAATATTTACTTCATTGTAAAGATCTTACAGTTTCTGAAATTGATGAGTATTGCAATTATTCATCATTAAATAATGATAATCTCATTGATATTTGAGCAGTATTCAGATATGTACAAATTTATTAAATCTTTCACTATTGTAAGATCTTTGATATATATTATAATTAAAATATTTATTGACAGTTATTGTAGATAATATTAATCATCTTTGAAAATATATATAAAGTCTTTTAACATAATAAAAAAATTCTTTATTTGATCATTCATATCATCAATCTGCTGTACATTCATTTATAGTGCTTTCATTTAAAAAAAATTAAATTGATTAAATAAATATTGAGTGAATTGAATCTGTCATTTTACTTGAAATTCTTTATTACATTGAATGGCTATGAGCTCAATTTATATATTATATTAACAGATTAACAGATTCTAGAGTAATATTGAATTGATTGCAATATTGATCATCTTTTTTCACATTATATTCAATTTCTTCAAGATTTTAGATATTGAATTTGAGTGAAAATCAACATTAAATTCATTTTTTATAAAGAAGACTGTCTCATCATGATAAGCAGTTAAATACATTTCAAAAAAATTCTTCAATTCAGATAAGATATTTGCTGTGATTTTTGACTTTATTTCACATCTTGAATAAAAAATTCTGACAGTTTCAAAATAGTGAAGATTATGTTGAATTTAATATACAGTGGTCAGATGGCAGTCAAGACTCCATATAATCTCAGCGGATATATAACCATCATTAAAAAAATGTGTAATCTCATTAATAGTGAAAATCACTGAGTTGAGGTGGCATATTGATGATAAAGGTATGAAAAACGCGTTATTTGAATGATTTGAACATTGATTTGACATTATTTGAATGATTATAACGTAACGTGACTCACCACCCAACGAACTCATCCACCCAACGAACTCCAAAAAGCGCTCTATAGAGCCGTTAATTTTCAACTGTAGCACAACAATGCAAGAAGATATTAATATTATTTATTAAATATTAAAACTATATGTAGAATACATCATATAAATATATATGATTAATTCAGAGAACGATTGCTTGGCCTAATAATCCGCCCGGAACGTGAAACTCGTGGTTTTGAAACGGTTGAATCGGATCGCGGCGTAGAAGGTTTCAGAGAAGGAATATCATTTGATTCCACTGGGGGGGCCTGCGTGCGGCACTTATTACCGCTTTTAGAAGGTTGTATAGAGCTTCTACGGTGTTTTGTTGATCTTCTTGTAGGCCTCTTTGAGGCCTCCGCGAGTGCCTTCTTTGCCAACTGTGCTTCATGACGTTTGGCAGCGCGTTCTTCCTTCTCTTTTTGCAGTTGAAGCTTCTGTTCATCTCGCCGTTGCTTCTCTATACAACGTTTAGCTGCAGCTGCAGCTTTGGCCTCCTCACGGCGTTGAGCAGCTTCTAAACGTTCCTTCTCACGTTGTTCCTTCCGCTCCATGAGCTCTGCCTGCTTTTGCTCATGAAGAATCGCTCATTGAAGCTTCATATCCTCCTTGCGTGCCTGATCATCGATTTTCGCAGTTTCATTAGCATCTGCTTGCTCCCTCGCGGCCTGCACCTTTGTGGGAGAAAAGAATTGAGCAAGTGAGGGATTTGATGGATTAAGCAACCCCATACGCTTACCCCGTTTGCGTCGCCTTCTCTCATTATTTAGAGCAGTCTGAAGATTCTTATTCTCTATTAAGAGAACCTCTCTGTCCAGAGCAATATTCTCCCCAGCGCGGAGAATTTTTTTAATATCAACTGAAAGTCGGCGGTGACGTTGACTTGCCTGCTTTATCAGGCCTCGCAAAGCTCGTATAGATGTAGGTGTACGCTGCTGAAGCAGTTCCGGGGGTGTAAGTGGACGTGGTTGAATCTTTTTGAGAACGCGGGCAGGATCTATAGGATGTATGCCAGTGGCCATGAAGGCAGATTTGATATTTTCCGCAGTTGTAGAGATTTCCCATGCAGCACGAAATAATCGCCAAAAATCTCGCTTTGTAGTCCGAATAAAGCCATAGCCAGAACGTGTATAGGAATCTAGTTGATCTGAATATGCCTTTGCAAGTGGGCCAAATATTCCAACATCTAGCGGCTGTAAACGGTGTGTAGAGTGGGGAGGAAGAATAGCAAGCAAAATTCGATTCTGATCCGCATAATCAATGAATGCCATATTTATATGAGATGAATGGCCATCTAATATAAGCAGGCGGTAATGATTTCTTGCTTTTTGCTTTGTATGAGGATCAAACACCTGTTTCAGCCAGGTTAACCCATATTCATCATTACTCCATCCATTTTCTGAAGCAGCGAAGTATGCCTGATCCTTTTTAGGATCAAAATCTTCAAGCCACGTATCTTGCATATCTCTTGATTCCCCGCGGTAAATGAGTGCAGGTGGAATTGTAGTTCCATCTGCACAAATACCGGCAAGCAGAAAAATGAATTCTCTACTGCCATCCTGCACTGCTCCAATTGTATGCTTCCGTTTGAGAGCTTCTATAGAAACGATTCGCTTGAGGGTACGAAGGAGGCCAAGAAGAAAGCCTTTTTCATCGAAATTGTAGGTGTTCTGGGGTAGGACATTATACTGCTTGATCTTCTCCTGCAACTATTCAATAGAAGTCAGCAAAAAGCTCATGGAATTGCACGCGAAAAGAAGCAAAAAAACTGCAATTACAAGAGTAAAGAAGTGTTCAAAATAGTAGCTATTATCTGCCTGCTTTCTCTTTTGATCCAGAGCACGAAGATAGATGCTCTTGATCTTTGCTTTATGCCGCTCACAAAAGCGAGACACCCAGTTGATTCCTACTTGCATTTTGGTGATCTCTAATACAAAATTGCGCAGTATTTGAGGTGTCACAGGGAAGCCGCGATCGGATAACTGATTAATATGAAATAGGAGGCGTTGTTCTTCAGTATTCGTGAGATTCTGACAGTAGATTGATGTTGCCTCTGTTCTGGAGACCTGTTGACCTTTGAACCGCCGCATCAAGGTAACGCGATTGATTCCGAATTCCTTTGCAACCTCAGCATATTTAGGAATCAATTGTCGATTCAATTGAGCGATCGCTTGCTCTATAATTGCTTCGTTGGGTGGCATGGTGGGTGGTTGAAGTTGAAGAGTTGCAGGGATTCATGGAAAAAATAGGAGTTCGTTGGGTGGATGAGTTCGTTGGGTGGTGAGTCACGTTACCACATTAATATCACATGCTCCTGAATTCTCCCAGAAAAGCGGGGAAATGTCTCGTGCCATCTCTTTGCAAACCCATCAATTCTTTCACCAGTTGTGCATCAAAACTTACATCAATATTGAAACTAACTTTCCATCGATTATGGAAAACCAACAACCGGCCCCGCGTAGAGAACGTCCCTCGCGCCATAAACCTCTTCGGACTAACGAAGCTTGGGATAAGGTTGTCTGCACCATTGAGGATCTCAAGCTCCAGGGAAGCTTGAGGGGTGCCCAGACAAAAAGCGTTATAGAAGCTGTCCATGTGCTGAAGACGATACAGACTTCAGCCAGACGCAAAAAGTACAAACGGTTCCTTTACAACGTCCTCCGAGAATCAGGTCCCCAAGCGGTTTTAATATGCGCTGCGGCCCTTGGCCAAACCAAAGCTGCTGATATGAAAGAATTGGATCGTAATCTCCTTGTTCGCCAAATCCAGGGCTGCGAGGATATCAATCATTCTACTATGCAATCGCTTGCTATCAGATACCAAATACCTCGCTCTGAGAGTGGTATGTTCCACCTGCCTTTGCTCTGCAGGTCTCGCTGACTGTCAATAGACGTGACAAGTGTGCCACCGCTGCCGCAAAATGTGATCCAGCGGCATCGAAAGCGAAAAGGAGCTGTAACAAAACCCCCAGACTTGATCGTACCCACAACTGAACCTCGCTGGGTGGATGGATCGCAAAATCCCGAGACTAGAGACCTCGTCGTCACCAGCGGTCCCGCTCCCCACAAGCAGCAGCCCAATCTAAGTTCCCATTATCAAGACGAGCGACCCCTTCCAGGATCGCAGCAGATTCTAGGTCCGTATACTATCCTTCATGGGCTTCCAGTAGTTGACATTCACAGGGAATCTGGTTCTGCCACGAGACGATCGGTACTGGTCTTTCTCATTCATGGGTCGACACATGGTTACAAACCTCCCCGAACCATTTCGTACCGGAATGGAAATGAGCAATTTATGGAAAGAGGAAAAGAACAGAGGAGGACTAGCGATCACAAATTGTTTATCTATACATCTTCCAACAACACTCAATGAGGATGCTCTATGCGTGGTCAGGATTGGCTATGACGACGGGTTTAGGATCTGTAATATGTTTGGTTTTGGAGAAACAGACATTCCGGTCTGAGTGACTCTTACCCGCAAATAAATGACAATGCTTTGGGCCCTGCCTGTTCTGGAAAAAGCTGCAAGAAGGTAGCTGCGCACGCACTTCATGAGGACTTCTTTTCAAACTTGATCCACGCCTTTATCACATAACATTTATACCCAGAAAGAACTTCTCGCGTTACCCGTCCGTGCGCTGTACCCAAATTGTCAACTAGCTTCCCCTCGTCATCTGCAATATTGCATGATGTGCCTTCGAACTCCATAGTCATGCTCTCCGTTATCTCAAATTTCAAGGCCGTCTTGATCTCTTCCCATTCTCCGCTTAGAGCCATATCTCCAACTTTCGCCGACATAATCTTTCAACGATCAGTATGTAAAATCACCACCGGCGTTGGCAGCTCACTAGGATGGAGAGTTTCAAGGAGAGCGCAATCCGGTGGATGTAAATATCGAACAGACGTTTCTGCAAAATGTCCTCGGTCGTGAACAGTTGCCAATCTCAGGTGGAATACCGTTACTAACCTACATGGTATTAGTTCCTGAGCAGACTGCTGGTAAAATGCCTCGGCAATTATCACTCACGAAATTCTTCAGTGGCACCTTGTGGCTGACGGCGATAATGTAATGTTGCGGATACCAGATGAAGGCTCTTGAAGATAATTCTGCTTTGTCTATCAAAGCAAGACGATCTTTATAAGAATGAAGTGTAAAATGAGGTGGGAATCTTCGGCGACGCAAAGGGGAGATATTATCGCTTGACTGCTGATGTTTGGTGGACCAACAAAAAAAAGAAAAGGAGAAAGAGGAGGAAAAGTATGACGAAATCGCTGCTGTCGCTGGCCAGAGAATGAGAGGGTCCGGCTAAATGAATCAATCAATCAGTGCGGGGCTGTAGCCAAAGGAGGGCCATGTGACTTCAGCAATTCAGCAATATGATCCCAGGAGAGTTAGGCTGCAATGCGTTTGGGCTGAATAATGCGCACATTTAGATAACAGATGTTGAGTTTGTATTTCGTGGTGGCTCGTAAATTTGGTAACCTTCCTCTCAGCAACATTCTAACTGACAGCAACAACGATGCTTCACCGCCCAATGACGAGCTATCTGTAGGAGCCGAAATGCCTTCGCCCCGCGAGAGGGATAAAATCTCCTTCTGGTCCTGGGAGCGTGGCCAGTGAAGACAAGCTGATTGTCTTGAGGTAGGTCCCTTAGACCAGTCCCCGGTGACACGAGTCGCAACAAAGTACACATGGAAAAAGTTTTTCTTGTATGATCTAAACTACAGGGCCTCAGCCTGCCTAGTGTTTCCGGGCAGCAACTGTGGACGGAAATAACACAATTTTCCTAATCTCCAAGGAGGAAGAAAGGAAGTAAACCGCTGAAGGGAATCTCATCTCGGACAAAACGCTTCTGGTTTCAATGCAAGACATTGATCAATTAGAGCAACTGTCTGCGAAGCGACATACCCTGTGAATAAATAACCTTTATACACTCACGGGAGGTTTCTACGGATATGATGATTCTCCTAAGTTGCTGTGCAACTCAGTTAGCTCAGCTTGAGATATTTCTAGACATGTGAAGTTACTCGATTCAAACAAGAGTTCTCAAGTCCCCACATTTCACAATGGGATTCTCTTTATATTACTAGATGTAGGCCTTTTCCACGATAACAAGCTTGCCCAGTGAGTCTAATTAGGTATGGTTTTGACCAATAAAACTATTTCTATCTTTTAATCCGTTTTAATTTATCTTCAACTTGAGAATAAATTGGCCATTAGCCAATCCAATCATAACTAAAGAAAGGCCTACGCTAAAACGTCATATCTTATAGAACTGCAAGAAGTTCTTGTGGGTCCAGGTATTTGATGGTAATAAATCTCCTCTTTACCTTATTGTACTAGCATCGACACCAGTTCCTGAGTATTCCCAGCTTTAGTCCCCAATTCGGCCTTTAAGCTGCTGGTTCTGCAACCTTTCCGTTGATTTCCTGAAGGCAGACCTCGCTGTGGTTAGGATTGAAATGTCAGCCACTTGGACATAGCGAAGCGCAGAATGTTTCTGACATACAACACTAAAGTCGAATTGGGTGGAATGAGGCCCGGAAAGCCGCTAAATTAAATCAGTAATGTACCTGACTGTAGGCGAAGCACATGCATACATATTCCCATATGTATAGTCACTACGGTATATAATTAGCAACTAGGCAACAGCTAGAGGATCCAGGTCCCAATATTGAAAACTCGCGGCGGAACGCAGAACTTACGGAGTAATAGTCAAAATGCTCTTTTCACCAAGTGTCATCTCCAAAAGAACTTCATCCCATCCTATGAAGATCAATTGTTAAATCCGCCGCCGCTGGTAGCGCAGTATGGAAGTACCTCGAATAACCTTTCCAGCGCCAATAGTAAACTTGAAGCCCTCTCTCTTGTCAAACCTAGCAGAAACTGACTTTGAGCTTGGCGCCAACTAGGAGGTTGCAGCATCAATGACGGGCGAACTTACTCATCCCCCATGAAATGACTGTCTTCCTTGTTGGTATCATAGAGACACCCTTTGTAGCCGACTGTCACTTCATCATTTTTAACATGTTTATCAACGCTGTTCCCGGCTTTAAGAATGTCTCTTTTGACACCCATAGTAGTAATGGGAAGGAAATGATTTATCTTCTTGGTTTGAATGATTGAATTTTATATAGATGGAGATCTAATCTACACTTCTAAGGACGATTGTCCGTCTTTTATGTCCATTTTTACAACCAGGGCTCTACTGACAAGTAGCAAGAAGCATCATCAGCCATCTCAAAATACTTGATAAGTTTGGTCTGTGAGAGTGTGTGCAATTTTGAATCTATGCAAAGGCTGATCTGCAGCTTTTCCATCAAATTTACCTCCATTTTTGTCAGCAGTTTTTCCATCCAGAGCAACAACCAAAAGATTTCTGCAGATCTTCTACCAAATTTTCCATCATTTTTTCCCACAAATTCAACACGATCTTGGTTTGGCGACGGCACAGTGGGACCTTGGCGCGGACACCCGGCCACTCATTGGTTACAATAAAATAGATTCAAATGTCCGATTCTTCAACGCAGTTTTGTTACACACAGCTCATCCCACTATTGTGTCTTCAATCTCAAGCGATTTTTCCAGTCAGGGTTCAGGGACAACGCACCTGGCCAGTTCGTTTTTCCTGAGCTGTCTACCAATCGGATCCCAATGATCATCCACCCACCATGTACTAATAGAGCATCTCACGGCGTCCAGGTCTCGCAAATCTTTTTTAGTGCTTCAAGGAGACGCCTCGACACGATTTAGATACGCAGAGTATCATGCATCCCCAAAGTGGGAGAGCGACGGCCATGTCCTCCTCCCGTATCGACGTGGTCCAAGCGGAAGCGGAAGACGGCGAAGAATATGTGCTGGGAGTGTTGATAGAATGGTATATAAGGAGGCACAATTCCCCCCGAATCCCGAAAATCTTATCAAGCCAATTAACAAGACCAGTCAGTAGCTCGTGAACAAAAGCTTCTTCATTTATTATTCACACTACCAAACACGAAGACTTATTGTCTCTCAATTGCTCTTGCAACCCCGTTGGCACCTATCAGGAAGCCGCGCACGGCGTCACCACCCATTCCATAATGAACGCATTCAACGGTGCTGGCTCTTTACCAATCCACACTGCCCCGTCTCAAATCTCTATTATGGATGTCTTCTTCCCCGGCTTCACCGGCATCTCTGCATCCATGCAACAGCTCCTGGCTGGCAACCTGAACAGCTATGCTCACCTGGTGTGCATGGGCGGGATGTTCCTGTTTTTGGGTAGATATGCGTACCGCTACATGACGGAATTGGTGGAGGCCTATTTCAGTTCGTGACTCTCCCCGTAGTGATAGCTCTTTCTAACCATCGAAAGCTTCGACCGTCCACGTCTCCTACTACAATGAAACGTACGATATGCTTATCGCCTGGGTATCCACGCAGCCCTTCGCCCATAAGGCTCGCTCCTCTCTCGTCAGCATCGACGGCATGCAAAGAAGAGCATATGCTGATGGTCTCTCAAAAGAGTACAAGAAGAAACCATTGCGCTTTTCACCTTGGAATGGATCATTCTTCTTCGTGTACAAGAAGCATCTACTCCGGTTCCAGTGCATGGCAAAAGACACCAAGGAAGAGATCTCCATTTCCTGCATCGGCGGATCGTCGCAAATCCTTAGAGAACTCCTTAGTGATTGCCGAGCCAAGTATCTAAAACTTATCCAGAAAAAGACTGCAGTCTTTGAGCATAATGATGGTGAATGGAGGAAGGCGAAGGCAAGAGACATCAGACCAATTTCGACAGTCATCATGGATGAGGGCGAGAAAACGGCCCTGTTGAAAGATATCGAGGATTTCCTGGACGAGCGAGCTCGGGGCTGGTATGCAAGGCGCGGGATTCCCTATCGAAGAGGGTTCCTGCTGTATGGGCCTCCTGGAACCGGGAAGTCCAGTTTCAGCTTATCTGTCGCCGGGCGTTTTGAGCTAGATATCTATGTACTCAATCTTTCGAGCATCGACGACAGCCGCCTAAGCAGTTTGTTTGCCCAGCTTCCCCCGCATTGTGTCATTCTCTTAGAAGATATCGATGCTGCTAGTACTGCACGAACGGAAGACAGTGAAACGACGAAAAACACTGGCCAGGCCGCGGTAGGCCCTTCACAGAAGAGCAAGTCTCAGGGAAATGTATCTCTGTCCGCGCTTCTTAATGCCCTGGATGGCGTGTCTTCGCAGGAAGGTCGATTGCTGATTATGACGACAAATCACATCGAGCGTTTGGATGACGCACTCATCCGCCCTGGCCGCGTGGATAGACAGGTTTTGTTTCAGCTCGCTGATCACAAAATGAGTTCTCGTCTTTTCTGCACGGTTTTCAAGCGGTCAGATGGGGATCAGCGCACTACAGGAAAGGAGTTCGATGATGAAACAATTGAGCGACTTGCGGATGAGTTTGCCGCCAAGGTTCCGGACCAGGTATTCAGCCCAGCTGAGATCCTGCTATCGTTCCTGCTTGAACGCAAGCAGTCGCCTACCGACGCAGTGGCTGATGTGGAGAATTGGGTTGCCAAAACCAGCAAAGAAAGGGGAAAGGTGAAGAATTACGCCAGGGCACGAGCAATTGCCAACCCCACTGACTCTTTCGAGGATCTTGCGGAGAGTTCCCAGGCTCACAACGCTTGATCCATCGCGGAAGCCTGGCGGACCCAACGCATTCTTACGTCTCGATTTTATGCTTGTATAATGGAAAGTTTGATGTTAATGGCCAATCTGGGAGGCCCTCTGCTGTTTGTCTGGCGAGACGTTAGCTCCGAGTTGACGTTCTCGCGAGGTGGACTGGGACAGATATTTTCTGCTTCACGTTTCTCTTTCATGTTTCTTTGTCAGTAATTGTTCCTGATGGCAACACTGCTTGTTTTAACGTTGAATCTCCATGACTTCGCCTTTTATCCGTCACAAGATCTACCTTGTTTGATTTTCTGTCGTAGTTCAATAATTGACGGAACTTAGTCAAATTTTGTAAACATCGCTCCCCATACATCAACGGGAAGTGCGGAGGAACCTCCCTCTGTTCGTAGGCGCCGTTTCTCCGAGCATGCTCGATCAATAAACTGTCCGTAGCTCATCACTAATGAATGGTGTGGACGACGCGGTCCTTCATAGTCACTTCCCATCTGCTCTCGAAGGAGGACAATTAGCGTAGACCAGTGGACTGAAGGCATATAAAGCCAGCCCTCCTCCCACTTTGTTTCCCTCGCTCGATATTCCCTTTTCTCCTCATAAAATGCCGCAGTTTTCACTATGGCGCCTACAATCCAAAACTTAGCCCAAAACAAACCAATAGCACCCAAACCAATGGCACCTGACGTCCAGAGCGATAGCCCCCAAGCACGCCAAATTTCGGACAAAAAAAGGCCAAAATGGTCCCCAGAAGAAGATGTTCTGATCATCGAGCTTCGGCAGCGCGGAATGGCGTGGGGAGATATCAGCAAGGAACTCCCCGGGCGAAGTGCACTCAGCTGTCGCCTGCACTACCAGAATTACCTTGAGAGACGGAGTGAGTGGAGCGAGGATCGCAAGACCAAGTTGGCCCTATTATATGAAAGGTGGAAACGGCGTGATATCTGATGACAACCGGCTCCTTACTGACAGAGCAAGCAGATTCAAGTCGGAAATGTGGGCGAAAATTGCAGAGGAGATGTCCATCCCCTGGAGGGCCGTTGAAGCTATGCACTGGCAACTGGGAGAACAAGAAATGGCGAGACGATCTAGGACAGTTCCGTTCTCATTCTCTCAACCCGCATCAAAACGCTCACGTTCCGTTCAGCTCCCTCCCTTTGCGGAACTCGACGCCGTATCCCAAGGGAACCGCAGCCACGCAGCTACTCTCTCAACGATGGGTCATCCTTCGGCGTGGGATTGGACGTGGATGGCGTGATTATCGCCGCCGTGGCTTCATACCAATAATAGCCGTACAATTGGGGTTCGATACCGCAGCGTTCGATGCATGTCTCTGGTCAGATGTCCAAGGTCGCGAAATATAAGATTGAATGTTCAAATACCTACAACTTTGATGAAAAAGGTTTCTTATTAGGTCTTCTACAAGCTGTCAAGTGAATTGTCTCGATTGAATCCCTCCAATCCAAACGCAATAAGGGTGTATCTCAAGATGGAAGTAGAGAATTCATCTCACTACTTGCAGCCATCTGCGCGGATGGAACAGCTCTACCACCTGCTCTTATATATAAAGGAGAATCACGCGATATGCAAGACACCTGGTTGGAGGATTTTGATGATGAAAAGGATAAAGCATACTTTGCTGCCTCTGAGAACGGGTGGAGTAATGATGAATATGGGCTTATTTGGCTGCAGCAAGTGTTCAATCCTCTTACAAAAGCAAAAGCAGGCCGCAGCTGGCGATTACTTATATTGGATGGTCATTCTTCTCATATCAACATGAAATTCATCAACTACGCGGATCAAAATCGAATACTACTGGCAGTTCTTCCTCCTCACTCCACCCACCGTTTACAACCGCTGGATCTGGCGATATTTGGACCTTTGGCAAAAGCTTATTCAAATGAGCTAAATGAGAATATACAGACTGGATTGGGCCTCATTCGCACTACAAAAAGAGATTTCGATTATTTAAAAAGGCGTGGGAAACTGCCGTTACACCTTCTAATATTGAGATTGCATTTGCTGCTGCTGGCATCTCACCTTTCAACCCTGAACGCGTGCTTGCAAAGATTGTACGGCCCAAGACTCCGCCAGAGCTTCTAGGACTCAAGACTCCTACATCTATTGGCGGAATGAGGAATCTGATGAAGGAGATAAATCAACAACAACATCGAGTTTCTCTTGACATCCGCCGGGCACTACATGCCTCTGAAAAATTCGCTCTTGACAGAGAACTTCTTCTAATAGAAAATCGAAATCTCCAGCAAGCCCTCAATCGCGAGAGAAAGCGACGTAAACGTGGAAAGGCAATGGGATTGCTAGATTCATCAAATCCCTGTCAGGCTCAATTCTTTTCTCCAACCCAGGTCAGAGCCGCCCGCGAGCAAGCCGCTGCGGCAGAAGCTCTCAAAATTGATTCCCAAGCTCGTCGGCAGGAGGCACAACTACAACGTACAATTCTTCGTGAAAAAAAAAATGCAGAAGCTGCCAAACGGAAGAATGAACGTCAAAAGGCTCGTGAGGAGGCCGCCAGGCAGCGTGAGAAAGCCAAAGAGGCCGCAGCAGTCAAACGCCAGATTGAAAAGGAGCAGTGAGATCTAAAGAAAACTCAGCTGCAAAAAGAGAAGGAAGAACGTGCTGCTATACGGCTTCAAACGCGATTGAAAAAGCAAGTTGAGCAGATCTCTTCAAAGCAGCAACCTGCGCGAGCTTCAACAACGCCAATACGGTCAAAAAAGCAAAACCCACCTTCCAAATCGGGAAATCAGAGTCTGATTGAGATTTTTACTGCAGATTCTGCAGATTCAGCATCAAGTGCAGCTGCTGCTGCCTCTGCTGGCTCCAACGCTGCCGGACAGCGAGTTTCACGTTCTGGGCGAATTATCAAACCCAGCAGGTATTAACTACATTAACTATTTATATTTTTATAGTGTATTTTGTATGTACTTTTAATGGTTAATATATAATTTTAATATCTAATTGCGTTGTTGAGATATCGTAGATTTTAATCATCTTGTTGAATTGTAAATGAGCGATCGTTAGGTGGGAGCGGTCGTTAGGTGGGTGATCACGTTAACTGAAGAGGCCCACGTTTCATACTTGTTGCTGAGCGGTGACTCATCCAAAAGCACTGGACCTGTCAAGCATTTGTATCGAATGACAACCAATAGCTCCTCCACAAGATGTACGTGCTTGACACAGCCTCGTTAAAATCGCAACCGCAGTGGAGCCATATGGTCGAGTCCATCGGGGTAGAATCAAAATTTCTGGAATATCGAAATTGAGCAAAACAAATCAAACTATTCCCTGCTCTCTTCTCTCTTAAGGCTCAACCTTTTCCCGCAAAACCTAGAATTTTGAAGGGGAACAAAGCAAACTCGAAGATCGAAACACAACATCTCATGGATTTTACTGACGTTGATCCCTCTGAAATAACATTTAGGCGAAAGCTTTTCAGCTCAGAATTCTCAGAAATATTCCTTGTTCATATTCGCAACAAGATATGTATAATGAAAGTGGTCTGTGTACCTGGGGCGTTTCAAAACATCAGTTCATTCTAACATTTGGGACAGCATCATGACAACGGGCCAGTCCAGCCCGCACCTCCTGAGCGCGAAACAAACATTCACATCTGCGAATCGACTGCCTACAGACGACTAATGAAGCACGGCCTTTGCGACCGCGGAATCGTGCCTCGGTTCTATGGGACAATGGAACGGATGGACTTATCACACTATCAACCTCACCTGAAGATGTTTCTTAACGACAAGAATCCTCCTAGCGCCATCCTCTTGGAGTACATTCCAAAAATGGAGATGATCTATCCGCACAATTTTACAAAGGAGCGGGGAGAGGCTTTGATCCGTGGCATCCGAGAGATTCACAGAGCGTTGGTTCTGCATTGCGACGCCAAACCGAGGAACATGATGATTGTCAGGAATGACCCAGAAAGAGTGGTCTGGTTAGACTTCGACAGAGCTCAGACCTATCACGTAGATAGCCTTACCGAGAGACAACGAGGATTTATTGAGGATGAAGAGCTAATGGTGTCTCAACTCGCAGATTCACTCGTGAGTGATCTACTATTTACAGCAACTTAGGTCATAGTCAAACACTAACCAGGACCATAACTTTCTTCTTACAGGAAGCTGATCATGCACGAGGCGAGATTGCTGAGACTTATCTCTACTACTGCACCTAGCCAATTTCTCTGCATTGGAATAAGAATGCATCTGCGGAGATGGCGATGATCGATGGAAATATTGGTAGATCGTTGAAGGGGCCATAATTTTTAAAGTCCAAACCATGAACAGGTCTGAGTGCTAAGGAGCCGTCAAGGCAATCGTTGGCCCTCATTAATCCTTTTTTAACTCCGCTTGCCATCGCCCACTTGGACCGTTGACAAATTCTCTGACTTGAGTTGCTTTATTATAATACAGCTCTTGCAGATAGCCGACCGATAATGCCTTTTCAGCAAATGTATAAACCTCTTAGTCAGGAAGAGGTGGGCTACATCCGGAAGAGGCTGGAAGAATATACGAGGCGGCATATCCATAAATTAGATGGCTTTGACTGTGCAGTAATCCTCGCGGATGCCAGGACCCTATTTTCGTATATTGCGCTCCTGGAGTCGACGATCAAAACCCATCAGGTACAGTTGCAATCCAAACCTAAATTGAAGTTCGTTAACCGACACAGTGATATTAGACCGAGCCACAATCCAAGAGAACCATGCAACCCGCTTGGGCTGCAGGCCAGGAAAACTGAAGCGGCGGCGACGACATTAGGAACGCGCATGTAGAGAGATTGCTATGGCGAGGAGTACATAGAAGAGCAGCCATCTGGTTATGGGAAAAGAGAAGTGCATCCAAATGCTCTTTAGTATCACCACTCATCGAAATCGGGGTGCAAATTTGCGCTTTTTTATGTAGACTTCTGGTGAATTTGTTAAAATACTAGGAACTTATAATTTTCTCTTTCGGAATCTTCAGGTTTCACTTTCTTTCTTAACCAGGCTGCGCAAGAAGTCCAGATGAACAACTTTTGCCCCCCTTGTGACTCCTACGCAATGGGTCAACAATTTTCCGGTTAGCCTATTTTTTGGGATTGCTTACCTCAGCATACTCACCTCTTCCTCGATATTTTCGAGTGCATTTTTAGACTTTTTCCCTGGGAAAAGGCCTCACAAAGCAGTTCGCTCGGACTCCCCTACCCAGCCTTTTGTAAATTTTAGGGCCTCCAGATAGATTAGAAATAATTCTGTTTCTTCATCTTTAGAGTTAGTAGCATAACATGGTAAATAGAAGTTAATGGCACAGAGTAATACAAAATTGGCCCTTTCTTTCGATCGCGGGGCGGAAAAAGCGGGCACCTTGCGGTCACTGACGCTCGTTGGAAATATCCAACGAGGCCCCTATGCCAAGAGGACGAATACCAAAGTTCAGCATAGTGCTTCCGGCTGCGGTTTATATATTTTTCCTTGCTTCGGGGACCCACCACAGCTCACACAGCCTTTGCTGGAGTTCCTCATTTTCTTTGGCTGTGTAATGTACACACCCTCCTTTCTCTCTCTGCTCCTTGGTCTCGTCTGCTCTTGTAGTCTCCCGCTTTTCACATCTGCCTCACATAGTACTTTGTGGACCTTTACTTTTTGTAACTTGGGTGGCTGTCTGGTCCTTTTTGTCCTGGTTTTTCTTGCGAAGGGCATTTTGTGTTTCCATACAGCACAGGTTTTCTGTTGATTACATTTCAGGTGAGTCAACAATTTTTCATGGATCAACAAGGAATACACTTAGACGCCTTCGCACGCATTCGAAACAATTGGAGACTTACCGCCCTGATCGCTAGAAGCAGTCCCAGCACAGCAGTAGTAGAAGTTGTTCTAACACAGAAGTAGAGCACAGAAAAAGACTGCCACAGCACAATTTCTGCTCCAGCACAATTCCTACATTTGCCCTAAGAACTTTTCTAAATTTACAGACCTAGAACGATATCTTTGCACTGGGTCTTACATACTTTTAAGTTTTGTGAGAATAAACAGAATCGCGCTGGCGTTATTCTCAGCAGGTCTTCCCATATTGAACCGGCTGCGCCGCTTCTTAGCGGCTAACGCTGAGTCCCCGTTTGGGCTTTCGATTACGGACTAGCGCTATGCATCTCATCGTACTCCGTACCTGGTTAACGATCAATACGACACCTCCACATCCAACAAGCTGCAAGGCTTAGCCGTTTCTTGGCGTATGGAAGCGCATGTTTCAATTTTTGCATTCCTGCAATTTCGATTTCTACATTTGTGTACTTCCATCCTTTCATTCAGATTAACGAATTCCATTTTCTGCACGGTGTGATTTCGAATAGGACACTTTCGTATTCTCTTTTAGTATAAATGATCGGATCGCGTGGCCGAGTGGAAAATTGAGTCAAAATGGTGAGGGCCACGGTTTCGGATTGCAAATCATGGCCATGTATTCGGATCGCGTGGCCGAGTTCAATCGCGAATCAAAATGGCGTGCCACAGTTTCAGATCGCAGATCGTGGCCCAAGAATGCAAGCGCCGCAGCAAACCAACTAGTCAAATCCGACAGAAGTACACCTTGAAAAAGCGACTCTTGTCTTAATGAAGCACAACACTCACTCATAGCTATAAATTGAGACCTCTCCCCTATCAAGTGATAATAATCAAGTCTCAGATCATGGACTGAGCACAGTAGCCTCGTGCAGATGCGTTACCGACGGAAAGGCACGCTGCAGCGTATGCTACGTAGCTATTTCGATGACTGTCACTGCAAAGGCGTCTACCTCCTCATCCATGAAGACAATCGGTACTTTACAATTAATTTTAACAAGTCTGATGCTTCGAACAGCCACTTTCCACCACCAGACAAAGATATAGTGAGTGACATGTCTGGTACAACCCTGGAAAAAAACGTAGCTCTTACAGAAACAGGAGAAACATTATCCCCCCCCTTCCCGAACAACGAGTGAGAACTACATGAAATATCAGAAGTCTAGAGCGGGGAAGAAGGGAAAGCAAGTGACACTTGAGCAGATTTGAGATAATGAAAGATTTTGTTTGTTGTAAATTACAATGAATTCGAAACCATCACTAAGCTCTTTTTGAAACGTAAATCTACTCTAAGCTTTATTGGCTGCTTTCGCAAGTCTGTGTCATGATGCAGCCGCCGAATCTACAATCTATCCACATATAAATTCAAACACACTCAATGCTATGGTGCTTGCTGAACCCTAAAATTCCAAGAATCGATAAGATTTCAAGTTGGTCTTTCCACCTCAAGGACTGTCATTATCTGTGGCCGTTAAAAAATATGACAACCCCCATGGCATCTTTTCTGTGGCTTTTTCACTCAGCATGGCGCCATCCCCTGATGGGTGTTGGCTCCTTACGGGCTTTTAATTTCGTGGCCTTCTCTACTGAGGTTATGGCGTCCCTCAGGGATTTTACTCCGGTGGCTAATAGTTCAAAAATGTGGCATTCCCAAGGGGCTTTACTTCCCGAGGGGACCTGACACCACATGGGATTTCACTTTTTGTTGCTCTTTCACTCAGAATTCTGGCACTCCCCAAGGGGCTCACTTCCCCAAGAATGCCAACTCCGCATGGGACTCACCTCCTCAAGGAGCTCACTTCCTCAGGGATGCTGACACCGCATGGGACTTCAGTTTTTGTTGTCTTTTCACTCAGAATTCTGGCACTCCTCAGGGATGTCGGCGCCGCATGGGGTTCCGTTTTATTGCCGTTATGTACTGTTGAAGCAAGTGATAGTAGTGTGTTCATTTTTGTTGTTATTCTATTCAGCAGAGGTGGGATCCCCAATATATATATATACATACAGACGTACAAGTTTCAGATCTCTTACACGTGTTTCAACCACCGTGATACTCAACATGTACAAGTTCGTGACACTCCCTAAGGGTTCGCCTTCATCAGCATTCTTGCAAATTCCCTAACTTCCCGTAGGGAACTATAGTTTTGGGGGTGGGGCACCACTTCACTGACTCCCGGGGGGAAACCATATTAGGGTGTTCCCGGCAGATGGGCAAGACGTGGAGCAACCCACTGCTTCAGTCCTGGATCGAGATCGAGGGGAGAAGAGCATCCCATCATCTCACCTGACCCACGCCCAGGCGAGGAGCGCCACGTCCGAGTCCACCGATCAGAGCAAATTATTAGTGTCCGGCCGTTAGGAAGGCGATGCGTTAGGGGAGACGCTAGATCATCAAGAATACATTATTTTGCCCCTTTCTCAGGTGATTCTGAAGCTGGTGTATAAGCGAGAAGGGGATGAGATGTACCAGATAGTAGGACGGATAGCGGAATAATTGAACGTCGCCGAGGTCACGTGGATTACGTCAGCGCTGATGCAGGGAGATGGCTCAACCTTTCCATTTCTAGTTAGTTAGCTGCTTAGATTTGTTTTGTACCAATAGTTGACCCAGTCAAAACCCCCTAATTGACGTCTCACAAACGGTCTCTTTAAAAATATATTTCCCTCCCAGGGGGGGGAGAAGGCACTAACTCTCCTTAAAAAGCTCGTACAAGTAGTGTTTGGAAGGGGCAAGCAATACCTCAAAACTAGAACAAAACCACAACCAAGATGATGTTTCTAACGCTGACTAAAAAAAATGGGAGAAAACAGCTCTACCTAATCCTAATAGCTCTTGAGAATACCGGTGATAGAACTACGACACTTTGGACAGTCATCGCCAATGGCAGCACGAAGGCATCTTGTGCAAAACCGATGTCCACACGGCAGAAGGGTCCTCCACTCCGATGGGATACTATAGCAGATCTCACATTCAAATCGATGCTTCAACTCCCGGAGTTTAGTCTCAAGCTTGGCCATCTCTGCATGCAGGTGCTGCACTTCTTCTTCTAGCTTCCTTCTCTTTGCACGCTCAGTCTCGAAAATAGTATGGATTTCCTGGTTCGCCCTTTCCTATCTCGATATTAGCGAGGAAGAAGCCCCATCAAGTCCCACAAAGAAGGGTCTTACCAAAATCATGTCGAGGTTGGATATTTTTTGTTTTTTCAGTGGCCGCTCCATTTCGGACTCCAGAGAATCAGAGGTCGCCAAATCATCAGATTCATCATAGGCCGGATAGCTGTAGTCTGTGCGTGGTCTCTTCCTTTGCGACCTTCGCGTCCTTCGCGCCAGGGGCTGTTCGTCCGTTTTTTCATCTGAAATGATGATCACAGTGCGAAGATTATCGGCTGATGCCATAGCTGAGAGATGGAAAGATGGCCGTGTCGCGGATCAGCAAAGTGGAATGACAAAGGGCTCTAGAGAGAGGAAACGGGTTCTGTTATGTCCACTCAGTCATCTTTGGGTACGCAAGGGCTTCGCAGCGGGTTTCGGTCGACGGTGTAGGATGGGAGGTGGAAAAGGAATTGAAAGAGAGATGGATCCGAGGCGGGAAGGAGCCCATATATATATACCCAGGGCGGGGAAAGTGATAACGAGAGTTCGGGCAGTGCAGCCTCCTGCTGGGAGTTTTCGTTGGCGTCAACACCCCCTTAAAACTGTATCTGCACCCGAGGGCTGAAGTCCAATCAGGCCAGAGGCACAGTGGCAGAAGAAGGTTGACAAAAGGCCAGGGACTACATCATGCGGTCAGTAGCACAATGACCAAGGGAAGGGGTACTATGGCCAGTGCTTAAGAACATGTGCAGTAGAGCCGGTGACCTAGATCACCATGCTGGAGGCAGGGTCCAGTAGGCCTGACGGGTCCATGGATCGCGGTCCATGGACCTGGTAGGCCCAGAGGCGGCCAACTTGTGGCCATGCTGGCCTGTGGACGGCAGAGGCCATTGAACCGATTTCTGCGACCAAGGACCCACGGCCCAAATGAATATGTTTTCCTCTCGACAATTCTATAAAATTTTGAATGATGACCCTGCCCTTCAGTTCTAACTTTCACCACCCTCTATTCTTACTGACAGAGTAATCATCTCATTTCAATGCTGTACTCAGAATACTTCTGTGCTTTTACTCCTCAGTATAAAAAACACAGCGATATTGAGTGGGGAACAATAACAGAAAGCGCTGCAGTGCGCTACAGGTTATACATGTTCAAGAACGTTGCTGACACCGTGATGTCAATCTGGATATCTGAAGGCTGGTACTGCATGAATTCTGCATCGCCCTTGACTTGATACACCCGGCCTGTCCACGGGCGACGAACAACGACCAATGGAGCGGTTCACCAGGAGCTTGTGGCTGCTGAGCAAGGGCGACACGGAGAGAGGGCTGTTCAGTGCCTTCTGGCAATTCGCCTGAAAGAAAAACCTCAGTCCATTCCTGCACGCCTCTTTTTCTCGTAAACTGTCTCCCGTTGACAATGCAGAACTCCGAGACGCCGATCCGCCTGATCGGAGTGAACATTAGATCCACTGATTCAAGATATTCAACAACCCCCAACGCCTCTCGAGACCGATTCACAATTGCGATCTCGCATCTACGAGCGATATATTCGCTATGGCGGTAGCCGTTACAGAGACCAGTTGCTTGATATGCTTCCGCACTCCAGCTCCTCAGTTTTCACCCACGCCGACATTGCCCCGCGAAATATCATGGTGGATGAAAATTACCAAATTGCCGGGCTGCTCGACGGGGAAATTAAATAAAAAATTAAATTATAAAAGTTAAAACTATTTGAAATTTTATTAAAAATAGAATCTATAAATTATAAACTTCAATTATTTATTACTTCTTTAAACGTTCAAACGGTGAGCAGAAGGCCGGATGTCGACTAGCTCGATGGCTGCTTTACGCCGGCCATTGTCCAATAATGCCACGCTCCACGCACGGCGGACGCCCCTCCTGCGCGCTGCAAGCTCAATCCCACGCCCCACGATCAGGCACGGAAAATGGATCCCTCGCCCGCTCTGGGATATGGGCGCTTGCATCCTCCTCCTTCAACCATGTTGAGACCGCCGGCCAGATATGGCCCTCTCGGGGCCGACTATAAAGTCATGGCTCCCTTCTCTCCAGCGGATGATCTGGTCACCCTCACAATTCCAGCGTCACTTGTCGTCGAATCTTCTCAGCCCATCAACCCCTCGCCGTTCCCCAAGCTATCAAGTCGCGCTTGCCCACTCTTATAACCACCACAACCAACGAGCTTTCTGTTCGTTCAACGATCCATCGCTGAGCCCTCCATCCCTCTCCCTTCCAGTTTCCTCCTCTGGTCCTGTGCGGGACGAAGAATGGCTCGTGGACACCGCGTACCATCACCCGTCGACAGCGACAGCGAGGAAGACCCGATGGACGATGGTGATGGTGATGATGATGATGATGATGATAGCGATGGTACGGCCTCCGATTTCAGCGGAGAGACCGGCCTGACGGACCCGGCTGATTACGGGGAAGACGGCAAGAATGACGCCAGCGATCTGGCTGGTCTGCTGGCGGGCGACGAGCACCTTCCAGAGTACTATATGGATATGATGACCGACCCAGACGGATCCTTACTCCAATACGATGAATACGCGCCCAACTCTCGGAAGCTGCTCGACCGCATCGAGCAGGAATGGTTCAAGTGAGTGTCTGGATCCCCCCCTCCCCCTCTCCTGGCCGCATTTTCTTTCTAGTTTCTCAAATGCTATGCAGATTCTGCGCCTGCGTCAAGCGGGACCCCAAGGAGATGTATCAGCGGATGGACGTAAAGATGCTATACACTTTCTTCCGCTGGGTGCTGAACCAACGTCGCGGCAAGGGTGGGAGACGACGCCAGGGGCTCAAATACCAGAGCTCCCTGGAGACGTACTGGAAGATCTTCCGTCTGGTCTACGAGAGGGAGATGCAGGAGAAGATCGACCGGGAGATATCGCTGAGGGTGATCAAAAATGTATGCAACTGCCCCTTCCCGTATCACCCTCGGCACCTGGACAGATCCCGTCCGGTGGCTGAATCGTTTCACGGTACTGACCCGGGGCCTACTTGTGTTCAAGGTGATCCCAAAACTGGCGCGGCTGTACCATCTCAAGAAGGGGCGGCGGAAGAAGTCGGTCATCTATCTGGACGACCTCGTCAAGGTCGTCGAGACGACCGTCGCCACCACCAAGAAGAAGTTCGGTCACGGCCGGCAGCGGATCCTGCTCTGCCTGTTCTTCCAGCTGGCCGGGTTCTCGGCCAATCGACCGCAGGAGTTGCTGAATCTGTGCTACCGGCACATCAAGATCACCCTCCTGAAGGACCCCGATGGCGGGCCCAATAACATCCTGATCGAGTTTACCATTGAATTCGCCAAAACATTCCTTGGAGAGAAGGAGGAGTACGTGACGCGTCCGCTCCGACCCGTTCTGGCGCACCGTGACTGACCGCATGCCTGTGAATCTAGGACCACATTTATAGTCCCGGAGATCATCTTCGACCCGTCCCTGGTCCTCAGCCCCCACGTCACCCTTCTTGGGCTCCTGTTCGCCGATCGCGCATTCGCCCCTCTCGACGGCGAGAGGGTTCTCACTTCGGCACGACAACTCGTCGACCTGAAGATACCGAAAGATACCTACCAGCTCGAGCTCCACTTGGACCCGGCCGTGAACGATGTCCCGGTGTTCCGGAAGTCTGAGCGGACACTGGAAGCGATCGAGATATCGGCCATTGACGCGCTGACGTACGGCACCATCAAACCCTGGATCAGGCGGATCGGGGAGATATCTGCGTTCCGCGACATCGTTCGGCCGTACAGCCTGCGGTATGGTGCCGGCAAGGCGCTAGATAACAGCGGTAAGTCCCGATCGGGGAGGAGACCCTGGCTTCCGATCACCGGTCACTCATCATCTTCTATTGTGCAGGGCACGTCAGCGAAGCGGTTCGCAGTCTGATCTTCCAGCACTCAGACCCCCGTACGTTCCTCAAATACTATCTCCACAGGAAGGTGGACAAGGACGTTCGCGCCATCGTCCAGGGTCTGGACCCGCAGGAACACATCATGCGCGCGGCGTGCCGGATGCTCCGCTCCGTCAATCCGCGCCGGCCGCAGGAACTGACCGCGGGCCAGTCGAGGTCGGTCAACCAGCAGCCCCACATCCAGGAACTCATCCGGAAACGCGATCTGCTCAGCAGACGCCTTGGGCGACCCCTCAAGAAGCACAAGGGGACCGTCAAGTACGAGCTCCACAAGAAGATCAGCTGTGAGCTGGCAGGCGCACGCCAGCGGGCGAGAGACAAACTCCTACGTGATGTACAGGAAAAATTTGACTTCGAGGAGCCCCTGCGCGAGATCAAGCGACAGCTGTCCGGGATCGAGGTCTCAAAGACATTCGGTGAGTCTCGGAGCACCAATGAGAAAGTCCCGCCCCCGCAGCGACGAATGATCTCGGCGCTTCTCTCGCTGCCCTGCGAGACGCTGCGGGACGAGATGCTCCGACGCACCGAGGGGATCGACGCGGTTGCGGCATACTGCCTCTTCGAGGAGGGGGATACTTGCCGACTCCCGCATGACAAGAGACCTACCGCCCTGGCGCTTCGGAGGGTCAGGGTGGAGGTGCACATTCCTCCGCCTCCCAGCCAGAGGGAGATCGCAGCGGGGGCCGTGATGAAGGACCATCGGCCACTCTACTGCTTCATCTGTCTGGATAAATTCTCCACCCACGGTGGGGTGACCAAGCACCTCGGACGTAAACACCTCCAGCGCATCCAGCCTGGAGATACGATCAGATGCCCGCGCTGTGATGTGGTCCTCGAGAGCAAGATGGAACTTCAGAGCCACGCCTACCATATCCACAGCACGGTTAGCCCGGACGACCCGTATCCATTTAGGCGCTCTCTCTTGCATCTACAAATGCATTACCGCTTAGAACACATCCATCACCCCAATTTCCCCCTGTATGTTTACAATCTCTGCTTCCACTGTGCCAGGAGCATATACACATAGAAATACCAATCAAACGAACCATATCCCGTCATTATTTCTGGCCCCACGGCCAACCTCCTGCAGCTGCGTGAACCAAAACTTGCTGAATCAAAGAACAACACGGGCAGCAGCATGCTCCACACCAATGACTGATGCACCATCCCTCAATGTTGAACTTATTCCCTATCTTTGTGCACCCTAACGCCTGAATCCCTGACAGCTGCAAAGAGAAGACAGAACCAATGACAACACTAAAGGCTAAAGAAGAGAACTGCTTGTCCCTTCATATTTAGTGAAGAGTGGATATCAGCCATAATTAAAAAAAATGATCTGTAATAAAAATTTATAATTACAGAATCATAACTTTAAGATTTTGTGTGACAAGGAACTGGTATGTTCCACAAATACAGCTGATGGCTTTTATCACGACGGCTGGGACAGTCTATGAATAAAAAATATATATATACTTTACCACGTACTTCATAGTATACTTGTACTTCATCACGTACGGGTACGAACAGCACATGTGACATCGAAGAAGAGCTGTAGAAGCGCGGCTTCCGCAACCTAGAAAAGAACGAGAAAATATAGCTTCTCTCTTTGCTTTTTCCCATCTGGGCAGCTAAGGGCGGTACATACTGTACCTACGCCACCAGTCAGGACACGAACACACGCTCTCAGCTACAGTATGACTTGAGTCGGGCAAGCTGATTCCCTCCTTAGCTCAACTGGTCATGCCATTTTGAGAGCCTCATATAACCGATTGCTGTACTGTCTGACTCAGTTCACTGATGTGATGCCGGCATCCGCGTTGCCCCTCATCCGAGCGGCTATCGCAGCCTTGCGGTTGGTGAGGAGAGGCTGTGAGGCTGTGAGCGCAACTCCCTCTTCACCTTTGCTTACCCTCCGCCTCCAAGCCTTCTTATCAATTTAATTGAGATAGCATAATCTGGTTCAATCTCTACCTGAACCCTTTTCATCCAACCTACAGCGAAATGCCACCGAGAAGCCGCGATGACTTTGCGATCGCGATCATCTGCGCCCTCCCACTCGAGGCGGAAGCGGTTGAAGCCCTGTTCGATGACACCTATGATCGGCTGGGGAAACACTACGGCAAACAACGAGGCGACGCGAATGCATACATCAACGGACGGATTGGCCGGCATGATGTAGTCCTTTGCTACCTGCCGGGGATGGGAAAAGGCAATGCAGCAGGTGTTGCCTCCAGCCTGCGAGTCAGCTACAGTAGAATTGAGCTTGCGTTGGTTGTTGGTATCTGCGGAGGAGCCCCGCCGCCACCCAAGTACCAAGAGATCTTCCTTGGTGATGTGGTCATCAGTGATTCAGTGATCGAATATGACTTCGGCCGACGATACCCTGGTGGTTTTCAGCGGAAGACTGGTGTCAAGGACACACTAGGCAGGCCAAGTCGAGAGATTAGGGCTCTTCTAAATAGCCTTCGTGCGGAGAATGGTCGCAGGGAATTTCAGGCCCAGACGCAACACTATCTTCACTCCCTTCAACAAACAGGGACCAAGTGGCGTCATCCCGGGGTTAATGACATTCTTTTCAAGGCCCACTATCTCCATAAGCATTATAGTGATGCTTCGCCTGTTATGTGCTCCTGTCTTGGAGATGATGCACCAGATCAAATCTGCAAGGACGCACTAGGGAAGGACTGCAACGTGCTTCATTGCGACCAAGGTCAGTGGATCCGATGTCGAGAGGTCTTGGACGCCATCCAGACCTCTATATATATTGGTCCTGTTGCCTCTGCCGACATGGTGATGAAATGTGGACAGCATCGGGATGAGATTGTCCAAAGAGAGAAGGTCATTGGGTTTGAGATGGAGGGGGCAGGGGTATGGGACAATGTTCCATGTATTATCATCAAGGGTGTGTGTGACTATGCCGACAGTCACAAAAACAAGTTGTGGCAGGCATATGCAGCCGCGACCGGAGCGTCGGCGGCAAAGGCATTCTTGGAGTACTGGATGCCGACCAACCATAAAGGTTAGTGCATTGTCGAGTAAGAGAATAGCGCTGTTAAGTGTCTTACATTATTAGTCGATGCAAGCAAAAACCGCCACATGATGATCCCCTTTGCGAAAAATCCGCATTTCGTGGGCCGCCAGGAGGAAACTCAGAAATTAGAGGATCTAATTACTGTGCCAGACGGACCAAGAAAGCTTGCTATTACCGGATTAGGCGGTGTGGGGAAGACTCAAATCGCTCTGGAGCTAGCGTACCGCATGCGAGACCGAGAACCTGAATGTTCGATCTTCTGGATCCCGTGCACCAGCTACGAGGCTGTTGAACAGGCTTTTATGACTATTGCACAAGTGGTGGGGCTCCATGATGTAGAGCCGGTAGAAGTGAAAGAGCATCTGAAGACTTACTTCGATCAAACAGACAAGAAGTGGATCCTGATCTTTGACAATGCAGATGACATGGATATGTGGATCAAGGGCAACCCACCAGCACCACCACTCAAGAATATCATCCCTCGAAGTGAGAATGGCCATGTACTCTTCACGTCCCGCAACCGAAAGCTCACAACAAAGCTGGCATCGCCCAATATTGTCTCCGTTCCTGATGTCGACCAAACAACCGCCAAGAAGATATTGGAAGAACTACTAATCCAGAAGTGTTTGCTCCGCGATGACTGTATGACGAACACACTTCTTGAACGGCTTGCATTTCTTCCTCTAGCAATCAGCCAAGCAGCAGCTTACATTAATCAAAACGACATTTCCTTGGCAACATATATATCCTTGCTAGGTGAGGAGGAGGGGAGCATAATAGAACTGCTCGGAGAGGAGTTTGAGGATGATGGACGCTACGAAGAGATCCAGAATCCAATAGCCACAACCTGGCTGGTCTCCTTTTTGCAGATTCAGCAGGTAGATGAAATCGCCAGCGACTTTTTATCATTCATGGCCTGTATTAGTCCACGGGAGATACCCGAATCTATCCTTCCGCCCACAACGTCAGCAAAAAGAAGAGTGGAAGCATTGGGTCTTCTTAAAGCATACTCCTTCATCAGCGCACAGGTTAATGAGAGTATTCTTAGTCTCCACCGGCTAGTGCACCTGGCTACTCGAAATTGGTTAAGGAAAAACAAAACATTTGAGAGTTGTGTAAAGACAGCTGCGGAGCGGTTAAATGAGATTTTCCCTGATGACAGCCATGACAACCGACACACATGGAGGGAGTTTCTACCTCATGTACTGAACTTGGCAGACAGCGCAGAATTCCAGGCTCAGCAAGGTTACTTTCATGATTTCCTGGAAAGAATAGGAAGATGTCTGCAGAGTGATGGAAGATATACTGAGGCGGAAACTTTGTTCCGAAATGTCCTGGAAATCCGAGAAAGAGCTTGGGGACTGGAGCAGCGTAATACTCTCAGCAGTGTCAGCAACCTTGGTTCAGTACTTGCACGGCAGGGCAAGTATGAGGAAGCCGAGGCCATGCACCGGCGGGATTTGATAGGGTCTGAGAAGGTCCTTGGTCCTGAGCATCCTGATACTCTCGCCAGTGTCAGCAACCTTGGTTCAGTACTTGCACGGCAGGGCAAGTATGAGGAAGCCGAGGCCATGCACCGGCGGGATTTGATAGGGTCTGAGAAGGTCCTTGGTCCTGAGCATCCTGATACTCTCGCCAGTGTCAGCAACCTTGGTTCAGTACTTGCACGGCAGGGCAAGTATGAGGAAGCCGAGGCCATGCACCGGCGGGATTTGATAGGGTCTGAGAAGGTCCTTGGTCCTGAGCATCCTGATACTCTCGCCAGTGTCAGCAACCTTGGTTCAGTACTTGATGACCAGGGCAAGTATGAGGAGGCCAAGGCCATGCACCAACGGGCACTTCAAGGTCGTGAAAAGGTCCTTGGTCCTGAGCATCCTAATACTCTCATCAGTGTCAGCCACCTTGGTTCAGTACTTGATGACCAGGGCAAGTATGAGGAAGCCGAGGCCATGCACCAACGGGCACTTCAAGGTCATGAAAAGGTCCTTGGTCCTGAGCATCCTAATACTCTTAGCAGTGTCAGCAACCTTGGTTCAGTACTTGCACGGCAGGGCAAGTATGAGGAAGCCGAGGCCATGCACCGGCGGGATTTGATAGGGTCTGAGAAGGTCCTTGGTCCTGAGCATCCTGATACTCTCGCCAGTGTCAGCAACCTTGGTTCAGTACTTGATGACCAGGGCAAGTATGAGGAGGCCAAGGCCATGCACCAACGGGCACTTCAAGGTCGTGAAAAGGTCCTTGGTCCTGAGCATCCTGATACTCTCGCCAGTGTCAGCAACCTTGGTTCAGTGCTTGCACGGCAGGGCAAGTATGAGGAGGCCGAGGCCATGCACCAACGGGCACTTCAAGGTCGTGAAAAGGTCCTTGGTCCTGAGCATCCTAATACTCTCATCAGTGTCAGCCACCTTGGTTCAGTACTTGATGACCAGGGCAAGTATGAGGAGGCCGAGGCCATGCACCAACGGGCACTTCAAGGTCGTGAAAAGGTCCTTGGTCCTGAGCATCCTGGTACTCTCACTAGCATGCACCACCTTGCCTTTACTCTCAAACAACTTGGAAAATTCTCAAATGCCTTAAGCCTTCTGAAGAAATGTGCAGACCTCCGCAACCAAGTATTAGGGTCCCATCATCCCCACGCGATATTCTCAAGCAATGCCTTTCGTGCTTGGGAAACAGCACCACACCAGTCCACAGCAACTCAGCAACCATGTGCCTTGTCAGATAATCCGCCCCCTAACTCAAATCCAGGCCACGCTTCTGGCGATGATCATATCCCCTCAGCTTCAAAACTTGTTGGCCGGAAACGCCGAGTCTTCATGGATTTCTTTCGCAGACAATGATGTGCGGGCTGATCTCATTTTCTGTCTTATTCCAACCGCGACTCATGATCCAGCATCTGACCCAATTCGTTGCCGTAGCGAATATTGATTCTACGCTCTTTAATCCTCGCCCTTCGGTGTAATAAACCAAACTTGTTTATTTCCGGTCACCAACTTCTACACAATACTCATACAAAGCCAAACGAAATATTAGGCAGAATTGGGTAGGGATGAATTTCATTCGATCCACCCACCGCGCGACCCACGCAATCCCGTACTCCCCCAAATTGTGTATGCTCTTCGATGACGGATCGCTACTCTAAATTAAATGTCAAATAGAGGTTATCGGCTTCTATACTGATAGGATAGATTATAATCAGCCAGCACTACTCTAATCCCAGAAGCTCATCTTTCCTCATTGCTCTTGCAGACTGCACAGGGGGGATGGATATCATAGATGATGCACAAAGAGGAGACCTTTCTATGCTTTCAAGTTGTATCACTGCTTGGCTGCATGACGTCACTTATTGGTAATTTCTTGCTGATCACCTTGAGCGAGCAACAATTTCCAGATCATTTATTTGGTGAACAATAACATTTATTTTTTGGAAAGTAATAGAGTGCGCGATCTGCTGCAAAGCTGAGAGGAGCAGGTTTAGCGAATACGTTGAAACAGTGGTCCCATGACTTCGTCAGCCAGTTCTGCTGACCGTCGATTAGGCACCAATGCGTGATGCGGAGCATGGTCCCCAGCTGGCTGTGACCTCGACTGGCGTGCATATTAATTGGTGGTGGGGGGAAATTGGGGAGAAAATCCTCTTGCAAATGAGTGTAAGTCACGTGGTTATAAACGGGGCATATAGATAATATCAGATAAATATTCCTGCGCTCCCCAATCTTAAAATCCAACTTTTGAATCTCTCCACTGAAGTGGAACTTTCAGCGGTATTGTCTTTGGTTGTATTCATAGTGTCTTTTCTCAAACCTCTTTTTTTCTAAATCATTTTATGGTATATTCTTCATTAAATAGGTTTGAAAATTTTTGAAAATTGGCAAGCTTAAAACGACTGCAAGCGTAAAAAAGATAGAAAGAAACAGGGTCATGAAAAAATACCTGCAAGCTTAAATTAACTATTAAAAAAGCAAAAAAAGATCTGCAAGTCAAAAGGATCTGCCAGTCAATTCTCTAAAAGTTAATTCTAAGAATTTATTGTGGCAGGGGTACTCTCAGTTGCATGATGGCTAGAAATATTAGGGTGAATGCATGCTTTCTAAACAAGTAATTTAGTGACGCTTGCATTTGCTAATATAGAATTGGAATGGCTTCATTTTTCAGTGGGGCTGATTAACGTTCAAAACCATCGGCCCTGAACACCCCTGCTACCCGGACATAGTTCAAGAACTACAATAGCCCAGTTTCAAAACACGATGGATCGCTACCATGTCCACAGCACGGTTAGCCCAGACGACCCGTAGCCATTCAGGCTCTCTCTCGCATCTACGCAAACATAACCGCTTAAAACACATCCATCACCCCAATTTCCTCCTGTAGGTTTACGATCTCTGCTTCCACTGTGCCAGGAGCATATACACATAGAAATACCAATCAAATGAACCGTATCCCGTCATTATTTCCGGCCCTTAACTATTTTAATACTTTTGCTACAAAGTGGCTATAGTCTAAATCGCACCAGCAGGCCCCGAATTTCATCTGACAAGTTGAGAGGACCGCAACATAGCCTCTGTGACAGAGCTGTTCTGCAGCCAATAAATAAACACAGATTAGTAGAGTAAAACCTGCAGGAATAAGAAATGTGAAAGAGCAGATATGTCAGAATGATATGGCCTGCTCTCCGTCGTCTGGCAGACACACTAACCCAAACAGGCATTGTCCTGCTGAATAAACCTTCCGTTTTCGTCGTAATTTACAACGAATGGAGAACATGACCTTATTAGCGCACGTGACCCGGCGCTACCTATATATATAGCATTACCAGGTAGCAGCTACCAGACCAACTTTCCGTCACATCAGAATACTCTGGAATGGTACACTGCTCAATCAGCAAGCCATCCCTACTAACTTGATCTTCATCACCTCTACCCATATTCTTCGTCCACTGGAGTCGGAAGCGAGACGGCCCTTGTTGAATGTGCTGATATTCCCAAAATACCCCTCGCTCGATAAAATGGTCGAGAAAGCCGTCCGTCCCAAGCGCCAGAGATCTGAGTCTCCGGCAAGTGCCATAAGGGCCACTGACAGCGAATATTGGAAAAGGCGGCTAGCAGAGCATAACGCAGAGCAAGAGCGGCGTTCTCTCATGACCCCGAAAGAAATCGCCGCAGAGAATGGATTGCAATTACGACGCGAGCTCGCGGCTCAACCGGAGCTGACATTTATCCTGCAGCCAACACCTCCAGGTCACATGGCTCGCGCGCAATGCCGTGCACGAGCTTGCTCCTTTGCAGAGAGAGTCATCAAGGATGACTATCGGGTTATTCTTACCGCAGGAGAGCGCGAATACTTCCATGTGTCCTGCCTCGAGAATATGCTGGACCTTTCTTCTCTCGTTCCTTCGCGCTTCAAATTAGACACGGGTACCTATAAATGGAACGATGGTTGGCCTTGGACATGGGGATTGATGCCGAGACTGTGGTTCGAGCACCGTGGTTGTGTCAAACTTAAAAGGATTGCTGGATATATCAAGGCGCGTCGAAATTACGACGAAGACAACGGTTATTTCAGCACGGAATGGCTTAACTGGCAATTTCACCACAAGGAAAAATGCAACCGTGATGACAGTTCTTGTGAATGCCCTCCGCCGCCGGAACCGCCGGTGGAACCGAAACTCGAGAGCCATGTTACAGAGGAAAGTGAAAGGTGTTCCCTTACGAAGCTGCTACGGCATCGGTATGTGGAAAGGCTGGCGCCAGGCATCATGGTCAACATATGAAACTTTGTTTATTGGAACATTGATTACCGCCGAACATGTCTTGCTGTTTTATCTCACTAGTACATTACTCAGTCAACCTACACAATACTTACACTGGCTGTCGCGGTCCCAACTAGTTGGTCCTCTTTAATACCCATGCGAGAACTCGGGCATTGTAGAGATATTTTGGCAAGAACTCAGGGCAGCCAGCATATGTTTTCTGGGCGAGCAGTCAAGCCATCATAGCATTGCCGTTGAGGCCGTGGACGGCGATAATGCTTGTCTTGCTTCTGTCGAAAGTTACTTTGAGCGATCGGTCAATTCTTTTCTTTTGCATCCTCAGGCCACGACTCTACAATCCAAAATCATGGCCCCCACCATTTTGACCCCTCAACGCAACCCCGGGTGTACCATCGCGTACTTGTTTCTCCTAGAGTCGCATTGTGATAGCGGGATCTCAAAGATACCATTCGGCAGTGTCAGGGAGCATAGACAGAATGGAGTGCTCGTTACTAGTGTAGATCGTCTTGATCGGATGTTGACATGATTTTACCGCGAAGTTGCAATCCGGGATCACGTCCCGTCTTCGGTATAGGATCAGGCCGATTCGTCTTGCCGGTTCACGTCTTGCTTGAATGCGTTAACTGGAGCCCATAATCCGCAGATACGCGCCGGCCTTGAACCATGTTGAGAACAATGAATGTGTGCTGCCGTAGACGTAAAACCATTCTAAGAGGTACATATGAAATGTTTGGCCATAGAAGATTTTAGAAATCCATGTAAATTTAGATTATGCTAAGACACAATGTGCAATCGATGGCGAGGAAATACACTTATGACGGCCGGCCTCGTTACAGAGCAGATTTTTACCGCCAATGTCTGCCACACATTTTCTGTGGCCATAAGCCGACGTTTACTCATGGTGACTGTCAACGCAAAAATATTATGATTCGGAGCGACCCCCAGCGGACAACTGCCAGTAATCGGGCCCTGGAGCTTGTCATTCTTGACTGGGAGAAGTCTGGTTGGTATCCAAGTTACTGGGAGTACTGTCTAGCTGTTTGTGCATTACGTTGGGACGATGACTGGGGCCTCTGGATTGAGAAAATGCTAGATCCGTTTATAGCTGAAGTGTCCTGGCTGCAAATGCTTCGCCTAGAATTGTGGTCCTAGGACAGTTACGTTTTCAAATGGCTCCCAGAAGTTGACTCCTCGAGAGTACGATGGGGCTTCAGAGCTACGCCTACCATATCCACAGCACGGTCACCCCAGATGGGTGTAGCCCATTTAGGTCTCTCGCTCATCTACAAACCCACCCGCGGCTCCATTCTCTCCTGGTTCCCGCTGCCCTGGCCCTAAGCCTTACATTCTATGAGCAGCCATGCTGCGAACCCTAACATTACGCCCCGTTGAAGGCCAGGCATGCCCTCATGCCGGTAAGTCATCGTCTGCCTCGTCTCGAAGATAGCACAAGATGAGAAATCCTTCAGCCGGATCCTAAATCCAACGACCTTTGTGTCCACGGGCCAGCGGGCATACGGATGGGATGCAATGGTTATCTCCATGGTTTCAATAAGGACACTTCCAACTTTTTTTGACTTTTCCAGTTGCAACAGATCTCAGCATACTCGGCTTCAATCCAGGGCTACCAATCCCAATCAATCCTGTCATTAATTTATGTTTATTTTTTTTATTTATCCTTTTTCTTTTCTTCTTTTTTCAGTTTTCAATTTTTTTTAACGATGTTAATTGTTTTCAACAGCCAAAACTTATTAAAACTACCCACGGAATCAAAAGCTACAAGTACTATAGAGAACAAGACAGATATCAAACCTTCCGAGGTAGTTGCTCCAAACCACCATGCTGGATCAGGTATCTGAAAAGGGTTGTTGCCGCTTGACGTTGTTGAGGAGTTAGCGAGAACGGTTGCGAGAACGGTTGCGAGAAGTCCAATACCTTTTCTAAAGATGACTGATGCCGATGCAAAGCCATGATTGATAAAATCGATAAAGAGATTGTGGTAGGCTCTGCGTGAAGAAAGCGGAATGGAAAACTGTTGGCTTCGTCCGTATTTGGTCGCGAATTGAGAGGCCGAGAATGACGTCTGCCGGGAACAATTTTTCCGCTCCGGTTCCTGCCCATTTGACCCACATCTGCCCCCATGGCAATCTACCCCACACCCACGATCCACAATCTCGAAAAGGGAAAGCCGTCGCTAGGACTTCATCGAACCCTCTCGTGTCATTCGTGTCACGCGTGAACGAAAAGGCCATCGCCATTGGGTATATATGTGCCCGACGGTGAAACTAAATTGGTGGGACGCAGAAGCACAAGTGCAGGAGTACACTTTTGGACGGAAAGGGGCAACGGTATTTGGACAAGATTCGTGGCCTATTCATAAAAACAGGTCGGGGCTCCATCGTAAAATGATTTGGCCTATCCACATTCCGTTATTCTCAATTCGACCCCGACTGCGGACGAGCAGAAGACGTACACTTTTGGATGGAAGGGGCCACGGTATTCGGGCAATATTCGTGGCCTATTAGTTACTGCATAAAGCATCTATGACAGGTGGTGACTCCACTATAAAACGGCTTACCCCATAGATGATGTTGGGTTTTCGATGATATCACACGGTCGATAGAGTTAGATCTTCCCTACACATCAAAATCTCCTCAAACAAAGATTGCATGAGGACTCCTAAATAAACAATGAACTTGTCTAAATTATCCGGATGGGCATTACGGCTTTGAGTATGTGGTTTCAAGGAGGCATTGATGCCCCGGTCTGGCGGAGTTCCTAAATACATCTATAAATGTACGTGTTGAAGGAGTGTGACCCAAAAAGTGCGAGCCGAAAGGGAATCAGCTGAAGAGAAGGCCAAGCCGAAAAAAGGGGGCGCCAGACGGAGCGCCAAAGAACCCAGCGAGGCTTGGCTTGGCTTCGACTCAGCAATCAACATGTAGACCTCCAACTCCCCCGCCTCTTTCCACCACCCATGATTTCGATATTAGACGCGAAGTTGGCCATAAAAATCTCTACCTAGTAGCTCTTGATAACACCAGTGATAACCTGACGACACATTCCGCAGGTTGCGCCAATGGGGGGGAGGCATTCTGGGCAATACCGATGTCCACACAGAAGGGTCCTCCACCCTGATGGGATGGTATAACAGATCTGACATTGACATTGATGCTTCAGCTCACGGACTTCAGTCTCGAGTCTGTCGACCAGCCCATTCTTCCTAGTGATTTCTGCACGCAGGTGCTGCACTTCTTCTTCCAGCGCTTCTCTCTTCGCATGCTCCGCCTCGAAAATGTTATGAATTCCCTGGTTCGCGGTTTCCTATCTCAATATCAGCAAAGGAAAAGGCCCCACCATGAGCCATACGAGGAAGAGTCTTACCAAAACCGCGTCCAAGTTGGGAATTTTACGTTTTTTCGGTGGCTGCCTCATTTCGGAGGGCGCTGGGTCATCAAATAGAGCCTCATACACCGGATAGCTGTAGTCTGTGCGGGGTCTCTTTCTTCGCAGCTTTCGTGCCGGGGGCTGGTGTTCATCCATCTCCGCATCTGAACTGATGATGATGGTGCTACGAAGCCCGTCGCGGGGACTATCAGCTGACGCCATGATTGAAGGATGGTTGTGCCCCGGAAATGCGGCTCACTAGGAACGGCTCGTGCTGCAAGGAGGCTGTGGGTAGAAAAAAAAAGAACCCTGAAGAGCTCCAGTGGGGGGGAAATAGGTTCTTTGGTTTCGCTCGGTTGTCTTCGAGTCGACAAGGGCCTCTGGGCGGGTTTCACTCTCGCGGCGGTGTAGGATGGGAAGTGGGAAAGGAATTGAAAGAAAGATGGATCCAAGGGGGGAGGGAGGCCCTCTATATACACCAGGAAATGGGGGGCCGTCACGGGGTGCTCGTCTCGGGTTGCTCTCTCCAGGCATTGAAGCACGGCGCAGCAGCCAACAATACCCGAGGACGAAGTCTGAAAATAGAACTCATGCAGCAACGGCATCCCTTCCACGGCTGTCGCATGCGAATCACCGTGGGGGGGGGAGGGGGACAAGAGGGTGGGTATCATTCGGCTGTGGCTGCGTACAGTTGGCCCCCGAGGAGAAAGATAAGGGTGCGGTCAGGCGAGGCCACCCTCACCTGCCTACCAAGGGCCGTTGATGAACGGCTTGGAGAGGCAGGCCGCCTTTTATGGTCGATCATGATATCACTTTCATGTACATGGATGAGCATTACGTCTCACCCTCCGGGGCTACAGATGCTACTATGACACCAGCGGGTTCGGCTGTACGCATTCCCCTCTCTTGTTTCCGAAGCGTAGATACCCGCTGGCGCAGCGCCGATTCCGTCCTTGCTGGAAAACACCTCTCCACCTCCGGCCAGGGTCGGCGCTCCTCCACCATGTTCAGGAGCCGTGCGTCCTCCTCGGGGAGCCATCGCCACAGCTTGTCTCTGTGACCCTTTCTCCCCTCACCGCGCTCACGCTGAGTTTCTCCGACCTTGTGAGGAGCGGAGCGACCGGCTGACCGCACACTCCCGTCTCCCCACATTGCCGGCGCTGAGTCGGGCATGCAACTCGCCAAAGCACCTTCAAACAGCCAAGAAAGGAACTGCAGACGCTCGTCGAGCTGCAGCGACAGGAAATGGGAGCGAAGGGCTGTGGAAGGACCTTCCATAGACGATACAGAGGCAACGTGAAGCCGCTTTGCGGCCGGTTCTTCTGGCTGCTGTGGCCCTCGTTTGCGTCTCCTGGCCTGTGCGTCGCTGAGGAAGTCGTCGCTCGTGCTGTAGGAGCAAGGCACATCAACGTCGGTGCTGCAACGGGCGGGGTGAATCTGCCGATGATCCAGAACGTGAGTGTCATCGTCCGTTTGAGAATTTCTATTCCAGCTGTCAAGCCTCTCTCTGGATCCTTGGTGATGGTTGGGGGTGTCGCAGGACATAGACAGGGGAGGTTCAGGATACGGATAAGTGGCCTTTGGGCTTGCGAGATCATCACCTTGCTGGACAGGCTGGTGAAGGTCACTAATGTCCCAGGGCGCGTCGTCGGCAAGGATCGCTGGGTCAATGAGGATGTTGTTCTGGAGATCCGGGAGCCTGAAGAAAGCTTCTAAGCTACCATCTGAGCTGGTTATGCTCGG